TAACCCCGCTCAGGGGCAGTTCTTGGATACATGTAAATAGTATTTAATTATTGAAATAAAAAATAAAATGACTGTATAATCATAAATAATAATGGAGTAAATCTTTATTATATTAGACTAAAAAAAAGCTTAAAGAATTTTTAGAGAGCAACCTACTAGTTTCCTTTACATGGCAACTAATTGAAGACAAACCTGAGTTATTAATGTTATTAAGAAAGCCTGCACTAATATTATTTTAAATAATAAATAAAGTTCATTTGTTATGCATGCGTGTTTAGTACAATTTCTTTTATTATCTTTTAAAAAGAAAATAATATTGACAATATTTATAACAATCAAACAAAATTATAAACGTTTAAATGCTCTAATAAATCAATGTATAAAAATTAGATTGAAGGAGAAATTATCAAACGACGATTATAAAATAAAAAACAAGAATATCAATAAAGAAATCTAGCAACAAAAATATTACAAAGCTACAAAAAAGAATAATTGATTGATTAATCAAAATTACAATCAATACCACTGACCACGTCCAAAGCAATATTATAATCGTCTTTAAACTCACTGAATTTGTTTAGTTCATATAAAAATTTATCTAGCGCATTTATTATCTTCTTCCTTCTATTTCAAGCATTATCTTCAATCCATCAATATTATCACAGTGAAAATCATTCAAATAATGTTTTTCTTCTGGTTCATTGTTATCTCCAAACTCATCCGGGTTATAGCAAAGTGGTCCAATGTGTTGACATCTAAAACAAGTGGTCTAAAGTTTCCATTGTCGATACTGTAATGTATTTTTTTCGGAGGAATGATATCATCTCTGTTAGAAAAACTGAAGTCGCCATCACGATACAATAACTCGCAGATATTTTCAACATTATTAGGATTATCAGAATATTTTTAGAAAAATATATCTTTGGAGAATGTTATACAAAATTTTTATCCGTTTCATAGGTGTATTAATAAAAGGTGGTTGGGAGAACCAATCCTTTCATATTTTTAAAATTTTCTTTATATACAATTGTAATGAAGTCCATAAAACACTTCAATTATCATAAAGATAATGATGTCAGATTTTTATCTATTCTGTAGTCTTTTATGTCGGACGTTTTTTATGAATATTATTTAAGAACTTTATCTTATAAGTAGCATAATTATTATTTTGTGACAGTATGATAAATACACAAGAAATAAAATAGGTTTCTTAATGAACTTTCACTCAAGAATGTTGATCAAAAAACTAACAAGGTTATGTTAAGTTTATTCCAGCATTCTTTGTATTATAGCCTTGCTCTTAATTTATGATCATGGCAATGTAAAATTAGTCTGAAAACTGGAGACAGAAAGGACGAATTCAAAAAGATTAATAGTATTTGGAAGATCATCTATTAACTCTTCTATTTATTTAACTTGAACTAATATTACACTTTCTCTCATATACCACATCTTTAAATCCTAAATCCTCAGGCTATTTAATTTTCAATCTAATTATTTTTTAATAGTGGATCACAAAATATTTCTTTGGACTGATAAACGTTCTCCAGAGAAATTAAAAACTCGTGTTAGTACTTTTTCGCTCTGAAGAAAATTTAAAGTTTTTGGAGGAACACTAAATACAGGTTAACCTGTATAAGCTAGTAATATACGTAATCATATACATATATATAAATTGTTTATTTGAAAATAAATTTGTGCTACAGTCTCAACATTTTGTTTTGTTAATTGCAACAAAAAATAACACAGTACACACTACTAGTCATAGATGACTACATCAATATTATAATATGATGTATTATATGATAATTATTGTACGAGATAGCCACACAATAATAAAGCTGATATATAGTGTTGAGGACCTATTGAAGGGTCCGTTGATAATTTAATATTTATTTGTTTTTGAAACAAAGATCAAGCTAAAGCTGAGCTAACCTTAGTGCATATAGTAAAAACGAAATATGGCCGAGATTAATAGTGATAAAAGACTTTGTTATTAATATAAATATATTAATATGTTATAGGAATAGAATAAAAAATACGATAAAGATATATATGGCTAACAAAAATACTTTCATTATTATTATTAATTTTAGTTACAATATAAACACTACCAGACTTAAGTCTTTTCTTTTCAATGTACAGCACTAGACTGAATTAATAATATTAAAACATAAAATATATTATGTTTTATTTTAAGAGCAAGTAGAAAATATCTTGTATATACAAGTGCAGAAATAATATCAACTGCTATAAAAATATATTTTTTTATAAAATGTGTATCTTATACTAAAACAAAAATGTCTTCGTATTATTTTAGCACTCCTCAAATGTATGACGCCCTAGAGCACATTCCCCTAATTTATCACGCCCATATGAATTATTCAAGTTCTACAATATCAAACAGTAACAGGTAAAAAAATCAATGAATTCATAACACAATAAAAAACTCTTGCACCATTCGATGAGTTTGCGGAGGAATATAATATGATTGGGGACCGATTTATCATCGGGCTGTTGGATATCATCTTGAGGGAGTGAATTTTAAGAGAAAAAGACTCAAATGTTGGGAAGACCAGTGAATTTTGTTGAACTGCAGAAATCAGTCAGCAACAACCCAAGATCATTTATTTGAGGGGATGATAAAAATGAATTCATCAACAGTCATGATAGGATTGACGCTATACAATGAATGAACATTCATCGAAATGTAACTACAGACTAGAAAACAATGAAAACAAGGGGTATAATTTTAAATACATTTTTCATTTTAATGTTAATAATAGTAATAAAGCATATATTAAATCTTTTAACTGTGAATACACACATCTATTTAAAAATTGTCCAGCTTTTAATAAATTTTGTAAAAATTGCAATGGTAAAAATCCTATTACCTATATTTATAGATCTAAAAGTAATATTAAAATAATACATGATATAAATGATGATAAGGTACAATTTAAATTAGATTTAGGAGCTCAAGCTAATATCTTGCCACTTGAGCAGTGTTGGTATTAAAGGGAAGACCAAAACGCTACATCTCTTGGAAATTAATAATACAGAGTTTAATTTTCTGTATTATGTTATTTTTGATATTTTATATATTTATTATTATTATTTAGTTTATAAATAACTCGTAACATCATGTGTATATTAATCTGCTTAGGTTTATTAAAAGAGGTTTTCGTGCCGCTAAAACCAAATCTGACATTACATTTTTTATTTCAATTTTAATAAGAGAAGAGCTTGGCAAACATTTTTATTTAAACATTGGCAGGTCGATTTCAAAAAAAATAGACAACTAATTATATTTGCTTGAAGAACACTAAAAGGTGGTGAGTGGAATTGCAGCACGGCATAGCTAAAACTTGCGGCAGTAGTATTCGTTTTATACTACTTCAGAGAATATTTAGTAGGACGCAGGATAACTGTAAATAGCGACCGCAGTTTTTTGCAATATATTAAACAATCCTTTTTTACGGCTAAATAAATATATTGACTTTGATCTCACAATAAAACATATATCAGGATAATTAAACCAAGCTGCTGATGCTCTATCTAGATAGTATATAGATGCGCTAAATATTAAACAGATCGTTGACTTAGATAAATCTGAAGTAGTTAACTTCGATAACTTAATTATGGACGTTTTAAGGGAGGAACAACTGAAAGACAAATTTTTCTATCAATACTGTTAAATGATTTAACTAATTAGATATTTGTTTTTTTCTTAGCCTGAATTTTAATGATATTCATTAAAATATTAAGTTTACCAAACAAATTCATTGAGAATATTATTTTAACATGGTCTGCTGGTGGATGAAATGGATAATGAAACAAACTCTTGGTGTTATAATACCAAAAATTTGTTTGACCAAACAGATTTAATTGGCTTTTTCTATAAATATACTATTAAATCTACGTGTAATTCCATATAATTGATAAAATGAGCCGGTCTTTGAAATATTTCTTCATAAAATGATTTAAAATTTTAATAAAATGGGTTATTGGCTTTTTTATCGAAATTTATTATATAATATTAATATTTTTTCAATATTTTAAAACACGTAACTCAATATAATATAATATTATTATTATTATTTTATATCATGTTTACAAAATGATTACTCTCAAAATTCAATAATTAAATATAAATAAATATAAAAAAATTAATTCAATAATCATTATTGTTAAATTAATTAACAAAAGAATAAAAAAAAGAAAACGATTTTTATTTCTGGTTTCATTTATTGTTATTTAAATTTTGCTTGGTAACAAATCTATTCAATTTTGGAATTATGTTATTTAATTTTTAAATAGATTTCAGTTTTCGTTTTATGTTGCATCTGTTAAAGTGAATACGTTACATTTTATCCGATTAAACAAAAAACTTAAATAAAACTTATCAAAAATCTGTGTTAAATAGTCAATTTTTCTTGTATTGACAATAATGAATAATTTAAAATACTTCCAAGATTCTCTGGATTTTAATATGGAAGAACGCAGTGATTCTTGTTCAAGAAATTTTAACAACCTAAAACACTCGTCCACATCCAGTAAATATGAATCATTTAAAGATAGTAAACGTTCAGATGAATCATTTTATTCTCTTACAAGCGTATCCGGCCAAGAAAATTCTGTAACGGCATCATATTGGGAAGATAAAAGATTGTAATTATTTTAATATCATCCTTAAAATGAGTCTTAAAAATAAAACATTTAGGAAAAAATATGGTGATTTTTCTAATACTCGCATAAATTCATACATATATTTACGAATCATTTTAGTCCTAAACCAATAAAATGAGTAAATAAATTTTAAATAGTATTTAAAATAACTAATAAAAACGTGAAGATTAATAAAAACATCATAATTCAGATAATAGTTCAATATTTTACAGAATTAAACATCTTTAATTCAGTGATTCCGAAAATTAACTTAGTCATAATATGATATATATGAAATATAATTTTATTTATGCAATATGTTCATTTTAAAGGGCTTATGGTTTGGGATACAGTGTACATGATGAATGGGCAAGCAAAGTCTATTATTGGCTGAAAGATATAGAACTGAAAGCCAAAATGAGTGGAAACTCATTTTATGGTGAGTAATATTTCATTGTATCAAAAATAATTAAGTTTGGGTTTTCTGTATCAATTGGACCAAAAATTACAAAAAACGCAATACTTATTACAATATGTAGCTAAAAGTTATTAATAAAATAGTAATAATATAAAATACCAATTATGTAATTTATTTATGTAAATTAAAAATTAAGAACTTTTAATAAAATCTGCTGACATGATCTTAAAACTTAAACACTTTATTTTCAATAAAGGTAAATAAAATTAATTTTGCAAGCAATTCTTGTATCATTTTTATTAAGGCTTAATTGTGTTTAATTAAATTTAAAATGGCAATTCTCTTTATTGCTTTATTTCGAATAAAAATAAACATTATTTTTAGTTTTAAAAATCATAGAAATTTATATAATATATATAATAAATTTAAAAATATTTATTTTTTTCAACAGACTTTTGATGCGTAATAAATATTTATACATAAAATAAAATACTATTAAAAGTAATATTTTAAATAAAATAAGATTTTTTTTAAAAATTACATTAAAATTCTGTATTTTAATAAATTTTGTATTTTATTAGATTTTTGTGCATCTAACCATATTGTAGCAAATGATTCGGTTAGTAATATTAAAGGACAAACAAAAGATTATACTAAAAATACATATGTCTTTGAAAAATTTGGTGTAACAAAGAACAGAGAAAATATAAATTTAACATTAAATAAGGATGTTTGCCATATACTTGATAATTGCAAAGAAAGTGAATGGGATGAAGAAAAGTTTTTGGCTTCTAAACGGCAAATTTTGCCTAGAAAAATTGGCTTGACCAGGCAAAATAAAAAACAAAATCATACATTACAAAAGGATGTTTGTTATATATTTGATAATTGCAATGGAAGTGAATGGAATGAAGAAAAGTTTTTGGTTTCTAAACGGCAAATTTTGCCTAGACAAGTTGGCTTGACCACGCAAAGTAAAAAACAAAATCATATATTACAAAAGAATGTTTGTCATGTACTTGATAATTGCAAGGAAAGTGAATGGGATGAAGAAAAGTTTTTGGCTTCTAAACGGCAAATTTTGCCTAGAAAAATTGGCTTGACCAGGCAAAATAAAAAACAAAATCATACATTACAAAAGGATGTTTGTTATATATTTGATAATTGCAATGGAAGTGAATGGAATGAAGAAAAGTTTTTGGTTTCTAAACGGCAAATTTTGCCTAGAAAAGTTGGCTTGACCACGCAAAGTAAAAAAGAAAATCATATATTACAAAAGAATGTTTGTCATATACTTGATAATTGTAAGGAAAGTGAATGGGATGAAGAAAAGTTTTTGGCTTCTAAACGGCAAATTTTGCCTAAAAAAATTGGCTTGACCAGGCAAAATAAAAAACAAAATTATACATTACAAAAGGATGTTTGTTATATGCTTGATAATTGCAGAGTAATCTAATGGGATGAATAACAGTTTTATTTTATTGAATAAAAATTTTTATCATTAGTAAATTGTATAAATTCAGTTTCTATTCAAGTTCTAGAGACTGACAATTTAATTTTTTTTTTTAATTTATGCGCTTAAAATATAAGTAAATATTTATTTTTATAATTGTTGTAAACATTTTTTTATTTGTATACAAATTCCATACCATATTTCTTTTATGAAAAAGATATTTTATTATTGTTCACGTAAAATAATGTTGATTTATAGTTGTAATTAATGTTTTATGTTTAATATTTTGTAAATTATATTCTTCAATGGACTTTTTATTTTTTATTCTTTAGAAAAAATTTAAGCCAAAAATTTGGTTTAAAAAGTTATATACTTTTGAGGAATATCAATAAAAATTACTTTAAATAAAAATTATATTAAAAAAGTAACATTGGTGTTCTAAAACCCAATTTAATAAATTTTATCAATGTCACAACCAGAGATGATTAATAGTTATAAGTTATAACTAATTAATTGAATATATTATAATTTAAATGGTAAATTTGTATTATATAAGTTAGTGTCAACCCTTTAAAGTAGTAACATTAAATTATATCTTTCTCAAATTTTTAAATGGCCTTAAGTTTTGAAAATATTCCGATTATACTTACACTTTTATATGTACCTTAAATTAAAGCTTATCTAATATACTTTCATTTGAAAATAAAATTTTATTCTGAACTTATCTTCATGGTATAAATGGCTTCCGTATTTAAAAATATGGTATTTTTGTGAAAAATTCTTGATTTTATATTTTTAACTTTATGATGCTGTTACTTTTTAAAAAATGTATGGATCAATATAATTTTTTTTTAATTTAAATATTTTTGTAATGTTACTGTGATATTATTATCACCTGCTGTTATTGTTGTCAGTATATTTTAACGTTTCTGTGGTTTAAAATGTGTCTCTCTCTAACCTACAAGCTCATGAACTTTCGATATGCTCTACGTACTACTACATACCGTAGTTAGTTAATATGTACAGCATGAATACCCTTTTACTCATAATTATGCTTTCAAGTAACAAACATTGCTATTAGAACAATATGAAATATGTAGATACTATTCTACAGTATTAAATTACTGCCTATGTACTCATACTTATAGATCCAGTGTACGCACCTCCTACCGAATTGTATTGATTGGTTTCAGGAAAAGATTTTCCCAAATGTTTAGATCTCAATGTGGCCTTGGAATCAAATTCGCACATAATGTTAAATGAATCTTCATCTTCATCATCAAAATTCCTGCACAGTGTTGATTCTGCCACTCCCGTTGTGTAGATATATTTAAGCAGATGACCGTGTCCTGTCAGTAATCCAATCAAAGTGCTTATGTGATATCTAGTCAAATTAATATCATGTCTCGGTAGTAAACCGGAAGTCTTGATAAACATTTTTTCAATCTCTGGGTACCACTAGGTAACACTATATTTTCCTGTGTTGTTCTCAACACTCATTTCTGAATAGTACTTTGAAGGATTGCTCTGTGAGTCCTATCACTGGTTCTGATCCAACATGGATGTTTTCTGCACCACATCTCGCTAGAGAGTTTGCTTTTTCATTACCAGTCATACTGTTGTGTCTTGGTACCTATTCAGTGTAACTTTATTGGACATTGCAAGTGATTTTAAAGTTTCCTTATATTCATGGACTAGCCTTGAAGTCACCTGTTCATTACTAAGTGTTTCCAGAGCAGCTTGACTATCACTTAGGATAATAATGTTCCTATTCTTAAATACTAAAATAATAGGTTCTGGGTCCCTACTAGTATTGCCATTATAATTGTTTGGAACACAAAGGGTATTGTGTCCATTAATATGCTGATATTTAGATTTTAATCCCCCAAATGTCTGCATCTAACTTTACTGATTTCTTGAGCCAACATTATAAATTATAAATCCTCCTTTCCTAATCAGATGAATTATATTCCATTCTCTAGATCATAAGAAATTAATAAGATCACATATACGTTACTAGGCATACATTTTTTAAAAAGTTATAGCAACATAAAGTTAAAAATGTTAAATATAATATCAAGAATTTTTTCACAAAAATAGCATATTTTTGAATACGGCAGTCATTTTTACCATGAAGACAAGTCCAGAGATCAAATTTTTTTTCTCAAATTAAAGTATATTACATAAGCTTTAATTTATTTTATATATAAAAGTGTCAGTATTTCCGGAACATTTTCGAAAGTTAAGTTGAAATAATTAATCTTTTGTGAAAAAGTTGAAATTTTGAAACCCTCTTCCCTGTGGGCAGGTGAACAGTCAAATGTTCACAAAAATATATAAAATGATAGGTGAATACCTAAGGTATCTATAAAAAAAAATTGTATTGATTTGTTCATTTTTATAAAAGTTATGGCAGTTTTAAGAAAAAAAAATGTCGAAAATTAGTGATTTTTAAAATTGTAATTTTTGGGGGGGTTTTCCCCATTTAAGGGGAACGAGAGATTTTTTTTCAATTTTCGAGAGTAATGTTTTCGATTAGAAACAATTTGTGATCTTTCGACCTATTGTTCATCAAAATCGGTACAGCGAGAGCTGAGATTGTTGGATACGCATTACGAGAGGGCGTTTTGCTACATCTTATTTTTATGACTGATAACGTCTCTCGCACTACCACCACCGGTTGTGTGAGCGATTCATTATGTCAGATGATTACGTACGCGATCGATGTAAAAAACCTTTGAGTCGTAGTGTTTGTGGTGCTGTTACTATTTTGGCCCTTGTCAAAGTGTTCTATAAGGCCTTTTTCGTGCATAATAGTTTTTATATATATAGACAATCGCCCTAGCGATTCGCATGTACCTTATAACGCAAATATAGTAAATTCGCCCTGCGACTCGACTGTACCCATGTACATCGCCATATCATCGCCTTGCGATTAACCACATCCCATTGATGTTAGTAAATTGTATCCACCATTTTGTTGAAAGTTTATCCATTCCAGATCAGTTCATTTGTACAACTTTCAAGACTACAGTAATTAATTAATTGTCATTATCTTATTGCTTTTACATATATTACTATTCATTTGTCTTTGCGCCAGTGTGGCAATAGTGTTAAGTGCCCCTCCTCTACCCCATTAGTACATATATAAGAATATTGATTTATGTTAAAATACAGTTTATTGTTTTATATTCTTTCAATACATTTACTCATTTATACAGTCCACTCCTTACTTCTTTCTCCTGCATGATATAAATACTCCAGAAACGAACAGTAACTAACCCGCACATCATTACCGGGCGTTCCGTTCAAACAGAGATTGAGTGTTCAGATTAAAAAAAAAAAAACACATCATAATAAAATTAATACCTTTTCAGCTTCCTATCAAAGCTAAATTGTTGCGTTGCAAAAAAAAAAAAATTACATAGTTTGACCTTTCTAATATTTTTTACTATAACGGTACTGCAATTATGTTACTAACACAAAATAAATATAATAGCACTTAAATTTCGAAATATGCAACATGAATTGTCGTATTTTCCTTATTCCTTTTTACAAATTTATAATTCAAGTAAAAAATTTGATGTAATTTCTGATATATTTATCAATACTTACAATATGTAAGATAAATTTTTAATTTTATTACTAATAAATATAAATACACATTATAAATCTACACATCCTAAAAATAAGTATTTCATACATTGCATGTAATTTACAATTATCAATTATGAATTTGTCGACAAGAATATTGTCGACAACCATTTAGACAATATACATATTAAGTTATTATAAATAGCACTAATTAATAAATAAATATCTAAAAAAAAATTTAAGCAACTTAAATAAATCAAGCAATTATCATTTTATAGTTTAATATCCATTGAAAATTCATTTATAGTTTATAAAATTATGATAGATATATTAAATCAATTAAAATTTTTTTACAAAATAACTAAAGCAATACATTAAAAATATGTAAAAATGATAACATGAAAAAATTAACAACAAATCATAAGTAATTATGCATAAGTAGTTCATGTTAATGTTAAAAAACCGAACAAATCAATGCAGAAGACAAATCAAGTAGACCCGCACCCAAAGTGGACAGAACAAGAACCTTCATCCATTTCGGGTACTTGTTTATCAACAAAATATCGTCGGACAGTTTAATAGCTGCAAAACCAATAAATAAAATAGAAATGGGCATAGGAAACGCCATTAAGTACTTTGCAGAAGCACATAACAAGGCAGGTGCACTAGCCAATAAGAGCTGTGATGTGTTGTTAGAAACATTATGGATGTTGGCTCCTAGATGAAGTCCGTTGGCCATGGTCACGTACATGCCTACGTAAGGTACACCTATAGACAAAATGGTGTGACAATTGAAAGTGATCATAGATAAAACCATTGGCGAAATTGTGATTAACGTAAACACGAGGACATGCGGAGGCACCTCGTTTATCATTTCCAAATTGATTTTTTTCAGATGACTGCTCATTCTGGGAAACACATTGAACAGCGGCACCACGTACGTATCGACGAATGGATTTTCGAAAAAGTACTTCTTTTCGCTATTTTCAACAACTGGAGATTGTTTTGGAGGTTGAGTAGATATTGGTGACTGGGACGAGGTGGGTCTCGAATCAACTTTTGAATCGGTAACATAATACTTGAAGCACACACTATGACGAGACAGTGTAAAACTATGACTCGTAAACTTTGGAAAAGCTTTATCGACTCTTTGAAACAACGTCTTTGCGATCTTTAGATTGCAAGTCATTTTAAATTTGATAATTTAGGATCTGCGAAAAAAGTCACTATTAATATTTGAAAATGTGGGTGTTTATTTTTTTGTCGAGTGAAAAAATCCCCAATCAACAAGAATAGTGAAACAACTCAATATTTTCTGTTTTTGGACTCAATATTAATAAAAAAAACATTTATTTATTTTTAACTACGCCTATGGATTTCTTTTTAGGAAAAAAACACGAGAATTCATGTGCTCTATACCTAGCGAAATACTAATGCAAACAAAGGAAATAGCTTTTCTTTGAACTCATTTTAATCGGCCATATGAACATGGTTGTCCTTAGTAAAGTGGCTTTGCTACGTCTCTGCTCAAAATTTATAATAACTAATATATCAAAAAATTTGTTGTTCCCCTTGTATGCAACCCTGATAAAGTATCAAATATTCTATCAAGACATCAATTCAATATGTATAAAAATTGATTAGATTATTATTAAATGATGTTATGTCTGGATATAATACAAGATATTCCTTTCGAACATGAAAAAACATAATGTACGACGTATGATAAACTAAAATAATTAATTGTCATTAATCAATTATAAATACAATGGACTTATATTTTAATAATACTTAGGATTTTTAATTTAACCAAGAAAATCTTATAGTACAAAAAATAATTCCTATCAAATAAATAATTACAAAAAAAAAAAATTCTCACCTTAATCCAAAAATTTTAATCAAATTTTGATATGATGTTGTTTTCCGAACTTTTATTTACGTTATTCAATGTAAAAAAAAGACAAAAACGGCAAATTTTAAGATTAAAAATGAAAATGATCACCCAGCTGTTCATCGACCATTAAGTATTGATGAACCATAGAAATACAATCTGAAAGACACCACTCGATACCACCTTAACAGTGTACCAACTGTTTAAAAAAATGTTTTTTGAAAACAACAGTCAATTATTTTGATAAATCATTATAATTCAAATATGCGTATAGGATACTAGGGCTAAACTAATTTCCCTCGTCTTTAACTTTTTTTGTATAATAATACATATAATTCCCTTAAAATGTTGGTGGTTAAGTCTCCCAATTTCCTCCTATGGGTTTAGTTATCAATATATTAAGAATTTATTAAACATAAATTTTAATTAATAATAAAATCATCCATTTTAAAAATGTTGTATTTTTAACGATATCGAATAAAAAAATTAATTTACTTGATTAAATTCAAGTTCAAAAACTTATAAGACTCTTAAAATGATTTTAATAGTTTATAGAATATGATTACGGTATTATATATCTCTGTATTATTTTTATAGCAGTAAGTGTGTATCAATGTACTAGTATTACTCATAAATTAGAAAATCGGGAAGAAAAAATATCACACTTAATGTGATCTTCAAACCTATTTAAAAATTAAATGAACATTTTTTTAACCTAGTTATTCAATAATTATTTTTTGCTTTAACTAGTTTAAAAGTGTAATTAAGACTTCACCAATATTTAGGTAAATATTTCTACTCACTAAATAAAAATTTAGACACTAATATAAATATATCTCAGGGGCAACTTTATATCATTTCTTCCTCAAATACGCTGCTGAATTAGTTAAATTTATAATTTGTTAACTTTTCACTTATTGGCGTTCTTTTTAATTATCTATTTCCATTACTTGGCCATCTTTAGTTAATTTTACTAGACTTTAACATGATTTTTTTAATTGTATAAAATACACATTTCCTTAATTTGACCTCTTATTTTATAGCCAATGGTTAAAAAATCTTACTTTCAATTTAAAAAATTGAAACATTAATAACTAGTGCAATGTAATAATTTATATAGCAAATTTTTACCTTTTATTATTTTCATCAATTTTTTTTTAAAGTATATAATGAAATCTAATAGTAAAGGGTATTTCTACACAGATATACTATATAGTTAGGTTAACAAAAATTATGATTAATATAGCGAAAACATAATTNGTACAGTCTACACAGATATACTATATAGTTAGGTTAACAAAAATTATGATTAATATAGCGAAAACATAATTATATATTTAGAAGGAGAATATTATATAAATGAACCAACAAAAAAATATAGTTAATTAAATTTAATTGACAACTTCAACTGATATTATAATTAGTCCAACTATATGAGTTACATCTTCTAACCATAAATATATGTTGTTATTATATATTAACCGTAAGTATGAAGTAGTTTCTTTTGTGTATTAGAAAATACATGAATAACTTGATATTCAAAAATATAACAAAATATAACAAAATCATATTAAACTAATTTCATATTTATTATTCAATGTATAAAACATAAAATGTATGAAATTTTGTTTTTTTTTTTTTTATTCAATCACAGCAAAAATTTACATTTATCAACATACTTAAAAATGAAAATTGTTTTTAATACAATTAAAACATTTTAGTCAAAGTATGAAATTTTTTCCCAAAGTAATTTAAAAATACCAAAAAAAGGATAATAATAATAACAATACTACAATAAAAGGAACTGAAGAGAATTAAATTTCATTCAAATAATCATAAATTAAAAATTAATACAAACACAACATCATATGACTTCAATTGTGAGAGATAAAAATTTAAGACTATGAGCAATAAAATAACATTTAAAATTTATATAATGTAATGGAGATATTTTAATATTGTACACACCTTTGTAACCAGGCACTAAAGATCTTGAAATCGAGGAGCATATTTGATAAAATATAAAATAAAATAAGTTGTTATGAAAACATAGGCAAGCTAATTTTCCACACGAGTCATCCAGTGTAATAAATGGTTGCTCTAATAGTATCAAGACTAAATGAAAATTAAGAGTACAGCAAATCAAATATAACCCTAACTTAAGTATAGTGAAGTAAAGAATACATAAGTAAAATTAAACAAAAATTACTAAACACTCTAATGAAAAAATCACAATATTATTTATAACTTAATCACTAAATATAAAGGTAATAAATACTTATAAAAATAATGAACAAAACAAAAATAACATACAAGTCAAAAAAACTCTTACATAAGTAATACACTTTTAATGTAATAAATATTTATGTATCACATTAAAAAAAAAAAAATTATTTCCAAGCTTGATTTTTTTCAATTACAGACTTTTCAATATCTGAATACCTTAAAATGCTTATTATAGCATTTAAATGTCCTGTACAATTAGATGGATCTGTTAAGTAATAATAAATTGCTGACTTCAAAAACTGGAGAGTCATTTCAGCATCATTTACTGGACGTTGACGTTGTTGTTCAAGTTGTTGTTGTAGCATATTTTCATACATCGCCTATAAAATAACTCATATTAATTTTTTTCAAATAGATAACATATAAAAAGTATTCAAATTTTCATTTATAATCAATTATACTTATTTTGCTGAGTTTTCAAGTATAATAAGATTAATTTTATAATGTCTTGTTAAATATAGCTATTTACACAAAATACAAGTTTAACTACTAAATTTAATAAACTTTAATAAATTTAAAATTTGATTCTAAAACAATAAAAATAAAGCAAATATATCTTAAGGTAGAATATAAATTCTATCTATGATAAATATTTCAAATCCTGCAACACTAATAGTTTTGAATAGAAATTTATACAAACAGAATTCAAGGAAAAATTTTTTTAGGCCATACCTATAACTAAGCAATATACCATATAATAAATAGTTGTGCAATTAAGTGATATACTCAATATGACTATATACATTATTTCAAAAGCTAATAATGCATAATTCAAATTAAAAAATAAGTACAATAAAAATTCCAAAAAGTAGAAACAAGAAAATTTTTCTTGAAAAATTTAAAGGTATTATATAAAAGAAAAATAATAAGCCATAACTACGACGATCAAAACATTTTTGAATATACACAAAGCTTAATTAGACAATCAAATTACAAAAATGTTGATCCATAAGTAATATACAACATCTATTTTTAACAATTTTCTATTCATATAGTATATTAACATAAAAACTTTGTGTATCTCAAAAGATCAAAATCTCATGCTCATAGATTAAATACATTTCATAGCATGAGAAGGGATCTAACAAAGACAAACCTTTTTAGTGCCGATCATCCAAAGGGCAATTGCCTCAGGTCCTGATAATAAAGCGCCCCCAACACTTTGACTACGCCCCTAAATGTATAAAAAACATTCTAATATTCTGAACAATTAATGAAATACCTATTTAAAAAAACTTATAAATAAACAGGTGTTACACTAATAATATACTTTGTTAATATAGACAAGTAAAAAGGTTAGATTCATATAGTTGTTATATATAGTATAAAAATTACTTTGGTTTTTTGTAGTTCAATTTTCATGCTACTTAATTCTTCAATTGAATCATTATCTAAATTGGTTTCAGTAAACTAAAATTAAATGATAGTTAATTAAATAATTTTAAAAATGTACAACTAATAACCACATACTTTTTCTGAACTGACTATTGGTAGGGTTTGGGTAGGAATTTCCGAAATACCAATTTCAATTAAATTATCAGTATTAGTTTGCTAAAATGAAATAAAAAACAAATTATGATTGAATATTAAATTTAATTTAGTATAACTGAACAAACCTTGTCACTCAATGTAAATGAATCAGTTTGTGTTAAACTATCTACACATATTTTATTACATATTGCAGTTGGGTCATTGTTTTTATGCTGTGTTGACCATTTTAGAAATTCGTTTTCTCTTTCAAGTTCTTTAATTCTAATGTTAGCTTCATCTAACATTGGTTTTAATGTGTAATATCTAATAATACAGCAAAAATTTACTTTCTTTAATTAATATTTTAAGTATATATTGATTGTTATAAGCAGGGTTCAAAAAATATAGACCATTTGGGTTTTTAAATTCAAATGTTTTTGTCAATATTATTAATTAATAACAAAATATTTTATTTATACAGAATGATTCTTTTAACTGTAATAGAAAATATAGAAATATTTAATAGCTGTAAGTAGTTTAGTAATAGATTTAACTTATCAAAATTGTTTGACTTTAAACACAAAAACAATCTTCTGAAAATATTCTTTAAAATTTTTGTTATAAAGTGTTCAAAATAGAATTATAAGTGTTTAAAATTTTAAAAAAAATTTTAAAAAAACGTTTTTTTTACTCTTTTGAAAACCGCCAAAAATATCTTAAGGCTTATTGCCATGAAAGAATCAATATTATTCACCACTCTTTTAAACAAATTTTTCTTAATTTATACCTACATTTTATCAAATTAATACTATAAAAGAAATTACTTTTCATTAATTTCTCCTAAGTTTTTTAAAAGTTCTTCAATTTTATCATTATGTTTTTCTCTAAGTTCATCATAAGCTTGTCTTAACTTTTTTATTTCATCGTATTCATCACTGTGCCCGGAATCTGCTGGTGATGGAGATGGGTTTAAAAAATGTCTAGTTAATTTACTAGAAAAAAATAAAATAACAGTAAAAAATGAGAGTTTGATTATCAATATTTTTACATACACTGAATCACAATCAGAAGGTGTGTCTTTATTAGATGTAAATTTAATATTTTCTTCTTCTTCATCACCTTCTGCTATTGAATCATCCGCTGTTTGGTAACCACACTTAATTTTAAGTTCATTATTTTCTTTTTTTAAATGTTCAATGATTGTATCTTTATCATTAAGTTCACTGTGGGCGTCATTTAAAAGTCTCTGTATAAGATCATGAAAAAAAAAAATTAATATTAATTTTACAAAAATAAAAATTATTTATATAAAATAATGCTTTAAATAGTTTATAAACATGTTGTATGTAAGTTCATACATTTGCATGATATATTTTTGTGACATGGAAAACATGCTAAGTAAGTTATAAATATGTTTTGTAATAACAGTAATAAAACTTTGAAGTTATATATTATATGTGTTTGTATATTTTGAGTGTGAGGGCATATTTTTTATATAATTTATTTATTTGAGTCAATAGTGCATATAAATTTTTATTATTATAAAAAATATTTGCCGAGAAATGGTGTTATTCAAGCAACTATATCCATACATCTATATGCCATAAGAAAGGTTCAAAAAATGGGCACCACATAAATTGAACAATAATCAAATAAAACAACGCCAAAATAAATGTAAAACCTTACTCACTTTAAATAAAAAAAAGTCATTATTTTATCAGATAATAATACGTGATGAAAAATGAATATATTTTGAAAATTTTTAATACAAAAAATTATGGGTTAATGCCAACAAACTATTAACATTTTTGCCAAGACAATTATTTCAGACAGAAAACAATGATATGTGTTTGGTGGAATTAGTATAGTATTATTTACTAAAAATTGTTGAAACTTAATGAAACTTTTAATGCTCACCATTATCAATGATAACTAACAAATTACATTTCACTCAATAAAAAAAAACTTGTATATTAATAAACATGACAATCTAATTTTCCTACACCACGATGCACCTTCCCAACTTACAAAAATGATCTAAAATTCTTAGAGATATTTAACTAAAAGGTACTATTTCATCCTGCTTATTTACCGGACTTGCCCACTTACAAATACCCTTTTTTTCATTGATGGACAACACATTCTATCAACAATTCTCTAAATCAAACAAAGATATTAGAAATTGACTTGATGATTGGTTAGTTTCAAAATTAAAGAATTTTTTTTTTTTGCATGATAACTAAAATTTGCATAATAAATTGGGGAAATGTATAGCTAATAAAGAAAAATACTTTTAATAATTCCTTTTTTGTTTTCTACAATAAAAATTTATGTTTTTTACTTAAAAAAACAGTGATTTTAATAAATATAATTGTACTATCGATACATATAAATAAATTCTTATACAAATTATTAATAATATTCAGCATAAAAGTAGCATACAAAAAAGGTTATAAAATGTATACAGTATCATTAAAGCCAGAATATTGAGAGAATTAATTTAATCTTTGGCCAATATTTTATATATTTATAGTATGCATTTTAAGGTAAAAATTTATAAAGTTAACTTTCAAACTAATTTTACTTTTATTACCCTTAAATTTCTTATAGTTCTGCTTGATCTTTGAGTAGGAGTGAGATATTCTTCACTTCCCACATTCGAAGGACAATAATGAAGATATGCTTTTTTACGATTTGAATAAGTTGTTCCATTTAAAGCAAATATAGAGTGGCTACTATCACATTGACTACTTGTTGTACTCCCAAAACTTTTCTCTGATGCCAAGTCATCATCTTTTTCATAAGTATTCAATGTTTGCTGTAAAAAATTTCATTAAATATTTAGTATTGATTATATTTTAAATATAACTAAAAGTGATTTTCTAATTAAATTTAAATTGATGTTATTAATTTAATTGAATTTAATATTATGTTATTCATTGAATAACTTCCTAAATTGAAATAATCTAGGAAATTATTTAACAACATTTTAATCAATGAATTTGTATAATTTTAAATATCATTATTAATTAATTGCATGAATAAAATTTCTGTGTATAACCCATAGACAAAAATTGGGGGCGTACATAACTAGGCTGAACACCTAGATTTCCTAAAACTAAAAATATGAGGGGGATGAAAAATTTATTGTTGTTGACTAAATCATTTTTTTTAAACATGACCTCTTTTTAATAATTATTTTTGGTAGTATGCTCTTATATTATAAATTACTAATTAAACACTAACCTAGATATATTATTAATAAAACATTTTTCATTTAACTATACAGTTAAATATTTAAGAATTTTTGTCGGACTAAAAAAATATTTTTGTATTATTATATTATTAACAAAATTTTTAATTATCGAGTCAATTATTTACTCCAAATTTGTCTAGCTGAAAGTCATATAATTATTTAAAAAAAAAGTAACATGTATATAGTAAAGTAAATAAGTTATTTAAGTACAGTAAATATGCACTTACTAAACTGTGATGTCTTTGTATTTTAGATGTATTACGTTGCCATTTCGGTTTAGGTATTTTGCTAGGTGAAGCATTATTAAAACTTGACATACTAAATTTGGAATATATTATTAGTTATTTTCACAATTGACATACTTAAAATTAAAATCTAAAATTGATAACAAAAAAACACTTAAACTATATAATCCAAATTTACTATTTTTAATACTGCATAATACTATAATATAATTGCTTCAATAGTACTATAATATAAACTTCATTTTAAATGATAATTTAATAGTTTTTGTAAAAATGTCGATTTTTACAAAACATTTGATAGTCAATTTGACTATTTGATATTCATTTTCTTGAAAGCTAGTTAAAAATTACCATAAACCATTTTTGTAAATACTTAAGTTCATATAATACTGTATATATTTAAAATTATATGTAATCCCTAACGATCAACTAGTTACAATTTTTTTAAAATCAATATCACGTTGAAAATGTAAACATCAGTATCAACTAATCAATTATATCAATTAAACGAATTCTATTTGTCAATTAAATACTATTTGATTAAAACCAATAATCGTATACGGATTTACCTTTTAATTTTTTTTCATTATCACTAGATGAAAATCTTGTAAGATAAGCAATATCATTCATAAAAGTCAAAATCGTTGGTTTAAATTGTGAAACTATATCAAGCAGTGATTTAGGTATGTCCGTTGATGATGTGTTCAATATTGTGAATGTAAGTGATATCACTGAAACATAGACTCAACTAGGCGATTATTAGCGCTACTAGTAGCATGTTTTTAACACTACTTTCACTGAATCTGAAAACGTTATAATGCGACATAATTAATTAGTATTTAGAATGAAAAATTGTTTATCACCAAGAATAAATACACAAACTTAAAAAGGTTTCCCATATTCATTACATATATTAATAATTTAATCATAAATTTCTAAACTATACAATTTTAAGTATTTTAGTGCCATTTAAACTTTTATTATTAAAGTATATAGTGTCAACAATTTTTCTATCAGAAATATCTAGAGAGAATTGGCTAATCATATTAACATTGTTTCATAATAATATTACAAAATAATTACAATATCATATAATAATCTATTAAAGTTTCACTTAAATAACTCAAAAAAATTGTCTGTATGAGTTATTCATATTTATTTAACTTTAACAATTATTCGTATTTTTCCACTTTTAAAAATAACTTTTCTTTATTTAAATTTTATTTTTAGATTTTGTCATAAATAAAAGCAACATTTTCTTTAAAGCAGGTTAAAAATTACCATAAACCATCTTTATAAATACATAAGTTCATATAAAAATTCGTATAACATCTATTTAAATAATAATCTTTTATCAATATTTTTGTTATTATTTATGAAATTAATCTTTTGTTATTTTATTAAAATAATCAATTTAATAATGGGTTTAAAAATAATATTACATAAAAAAAAAATTTAATTCGCATAGTTAATTAAATAAATCTGATTTTTATAGAAATATTATTTTATTTGTTAAGATATTTTTTTAACATATATAAAGAAAACATTAATAAAATATTTTTAAATCGAGTTATGAGTTTAGAATAGTATTTTTGTTTTTTTCGTAACAAAACAAAAATATTGATTCAAAACCTATGGGTAATTGAAGAAAAAGTTTCATTTAAAAACCATGTAATTGATCAAAAATAAAAATAGTATCACTGTAACTATCAAATTAATAAAATCATTTCATTAAATAATAATATTTAGTTAGAGAACATTTTCAATCACTGGAAAAAATGTTTAAACTATAAAAAGAAAGTAAATTAAATTAAAAGTAATGTACTGTACTTATTGTATGTTAGTACTTATGTAACTATTTGGTATCAATTGTAAATTTTAATCCTAACTAAAACAACAAACCTATAACTTTTTAATTTGTCGTTGAAATTGTCTACAACACATCTGTATATAAACTTGTGTTGTTATGTTATGCAACTCTCGTATATCGTACTACTAAAATTTAAATAACTATTCACAGGGCGATTCAAAAATTATATAAGTTGTAAATCTCGTGACTTTTTACTAGCACGTCAAGAAGTGTTATTACATGTCTAATCGCATGATCTTCATTTTACATTCTTAATTATTGTCCATAATAGACCTTAATTAAGGAAGCATGGGCACAACTAACGGGTAAAATTTTAATATTGTATCTTTATATTTTCTATTAGATGAACAGTTTTTGACCTAAAAAAAATGATAAAACGAAGTCTGGTTAAAAAATTCCATAAAAACTTTAAATAATACAATAGAATAAAACATATATACAACAATAAGTTACTTATTTTATTGTAAAAGTAGTTACAATAATAAATTTAAAAAAATACAAATTTAACTAGTACTTTATTTATAACATTAGTATTTTCAATAATTTATTTAATACAAAACAATAATTTAAATTGTTTTTAAAAAATTGCTTTATTTTTGTAACGATAACATTTTTTTGTTTATATTGTAGTCTTAATTCAGATGTTTTGACGATTTCGAATGCTGTAACATGATGTAACAATAAAGTTGTTTATTTTACATTTAAAATAAACAGTTATAGGTATTATGTATTATTATTATAAATATTATACATACAAGGGTAAACCTTTAATAGTATATTTTTATTTTAACAATATAATTTAAAATATACCTTTACAACAAATTCATTTAAAATTTTCAAAAAAAATAATGTTTGTTAAGATATTTTTAATTCTTTTCATTTAAAAGTAATTTCTTTTTTTTAATTTGATAACAAACATATATAGTCGATAATACAAATCTCCTGGAAAATTATGGTAATGAAAAAAAATTGGAAAACCAGAAAAATTAAACTAGCTATATCCAATTAAACCCAAACAAGATTCTAATAATAATAACCAACATTGACCACGTTCAATAATAAAAACCAAAACTTTTTTGCAAATACTATATATTAAAATCTCTATAAACTATCTTATTTTCGAATGCTCAAAATGAATAGAAGAATTAAAAATACTTTCGTCGGACTGAAATGGAAAATCACTTACACAGAATTTGTTAGAACTAATTAAGTAATTAAAAAAATTAATATATTTTTATCTAAATGTCAACATTTATAATAATTGTCAGGCACGTGTTGAAAAAAAAACAATTAACTGCTAACTCAATTAATCTACTAGTTAAAAATAGTAGTTCTCGATTTAGAAGATACCGCTAATTTACTATTTCAAGGGCGGACGATAAGGTGGACAAATGGTTATCGGCATCCGATACTCTCGGAAAATTATGTGTTAAAAAAATATGTTAATGTATTATGTAAAATATAGAAATAAATAAAAATACAAATAACGAAAAAAGTATTAAAATGGCTCCATTGAAATCTTCCCACCTGGATCTTTAGGATTTCAGTCCACTCCTATATTTAGTCTTATAAATTATGATAAAAATAAAATATATTAGCTCAATAAGTCATGGTATTTTATAACTTACTTTTAAAACTCTCCAATATGAATTATTTAAATATTCGCCAGCTAAATATGTTGCTGGAGCATACATTACATTTCCAGCGAAAAATAGTATTCTCATTAATAAGTTCATTCTTTTCAAAATCGGATAAACCCACATTCCACTTTTATAGAATACAAAATTAATCCTACAAATTAATTATAATTTTTTTTTATTAGTTGTTTATTGATATAAATGCTTAAGCATTTAGCAATAAGCATAAGTTAAAGATTAAAGAATAACAAAAGGATGTCGTTATTTATTTTATTAAGAATTTATTATTGGTTTCTTGAGAAAAAAAAGTATTTTTATTTAATTGAAAAAAAATTATTTATGATAAGGGTTTTTAATAAATGACGCTCTTTCTTAAGCTTTGTAAAATACTATTAACCATGAATTCGTTGATAAATTAAAATATTTATAATACAAGCGAGAAAAAAATTCCAAATGCTAAGTTCTTACATATTTATATTTACTATAGAAAATGGAAGTTTTATAATTTTAAAAAATTGTGTAAACAATAATGTTTTTTTAAAATAATTTTATAAATATTTCTTGCAGTTATTTTCTATTGATATAAACACATAGTGTATTCTAAAGTCAAATGTATATTGTAGTCTTTTTCTATTAGAGTATATAGTAAATTAACTCTCAATTATTTTTATTGAAAGAGAAGCTTTATGATTCGTAAATTATCCAAAAGGTATTATAAAATTAAATATTTTAAAATAATAGTATGATTGATTAAACTTATATACATACCAAAATAAATAAAAAAATTGGAATGTCATGAATATTGACAATCCTGCAGATCTAGATGGATATTTTCGGTAACTAGTTAACATTTCTAGTACAGCAAAGTAAAAAATAAATGCATGTGTTACATGGTTTAACCAGTTGGGGAAATAAATATCATAATATTTTGGCATAACAAGAGTTTTGTCGGTAAACCATAAAGGCCAAAAGCTCATGGCAATAAACTGAAATTATAATTATTTATTAATAGCATACATTATACATGTACGAGTAAGTGAATCTTTTAATTACACTGTTCTACTAGAAATTTTCATAAGAGACAAAATATACTTTTCTAAGTCAATTTTTTGCGATGATTTGAAATCTATAATTTAATTTTTTTCTGCTAAATCAACTCTAATTATTTATATAACTATTAATTAGTAAAAAACGAGTTATTTCACACAAAAAATTAATGAAACATTTTTAATTAATTATTATTGATTTTGATTTTTTATGTTTTAACAATAATCCGTGTGATATTTCTATCCAAAATATCATATTAATCTATATTTTTTGGTATTTTTAAATTGATTTTTACGATAGTTTTTAGAAAAAAAAAATTAACTTTTTATCATAACTATTTTTTGACTCGACTACAATTTTGAAATTGATATTATTAAATAGAAAATTTTATAAAGTTTTAAAACCTTATACTGTTTATATTGATATGTAACTCACATAATTAATATTAACAGTAAATGTATAAGAAAAGCTCAAAATTTCTTAAATTTTAAAAACGCAATGGAGATAATTAGTGGAACAGTAAAAATCACACCGATGAAATAGTTACCAGTCTTAAATTTTATATTTTTACTATCTTTTCGCAGAAAGGAGGTACTACTAAAAACCATCAACAAAGCCGAAAACAACTACAACAACCAAACATGACGTCATAATTTAGAAGTTTGTTCAGAGAGAAGGTTTAGCCAAGACATTAAGAGAATTCATATAGCTAATATACATACATTAGAATGAATACAAGAAATAGAAATTAGCTTATGACTGTGAATATAATTTATAATCATGTATTCAATATTACTTATATAACCGATATAATTATTATCACTTTAATAACATATTATATTCCATATTATTTATTTTTGTAACAAATTTAAAGTACTTTATCTATGATAACTTGTATACGAAATAAATAAATTAATAATGGTAAATATCCTCTTCGAAATAATGTAAAAATTAAAAGTTTTTGTGTATATCTCAATAACAAGATAATATTTATAGGTAATATGCACTGATCTAATTAAAAAAAATTGTTTATGTAAATAAAACCCAATCAGACATTGTTTTACTATAAAATAATCCATACATTGCAGGTTTTAGAAGTATATTACGAATATTAATGATAATAGTATACAAATATGTAAGCGTTTTTTTTATAAATAGTGTGGAACAGAACTAATTGACAACTGTTATAATTTTTTATACAATTAAAATTTCGTTGTAATTTTTTTTTAAATAACTTATATATTCTTAGGCTACATCAAAACCATATTTTTTTAATATTTGTTTTTAAGAAAATTAAATTTTTTTTTAGTTTAAAATGTTTTCAAAATTATAAAATAGTCAGTTTTTAGATTTTTACTTACAAACAATCGTACAAATTCGTCCTTGTCGACCCAACAAAATTTTTCATGAGAAATTAGTAAAAAATAAATTATTTTAAAAATTTAAACAATTAAAAATTATAAAAAAATTTATATTATTATTTTTTTTTATTAATAATAAATATTAAAAAATACGATTTTGACGTAGTCTAAAAATGCATAAATTACTAAAAAAACCAATTACAAAGAAATTTTGATTGTATCACAAATTATAAGGGTCGTCAGTTATATTTGTACCAATCTGTATAAATTGTATATAAATCACTTACCATTGCTAAAGGAAAAGCTAGAGAAGTGAAGTAAACATTTTTAATTCGGCTTAAAACTTTTAACATTGAATCAGAACATAAATGTCTAGCTATTTGATCAATAAATACAGCGAATAAATAAAATGACGTTTGAATAACCTTGAAAATTAAAAATAAACGATAAATTCTTGAAATCATAGGTTAAACATTAAAATAATTCAAATAAATAATAAAACATTCAAATATTCACATACCATATCGCAGAATGTTAAGTATTTAAATTTTCCACCGAATGCTTCATCCAAAGGATTCAATTGAGCTGGTATATTTACATAAGTAAAGTAATAATATAAGCCATACGAAAATACTATGGCTCCAAGTAAATGAACACCTTTGTTTACACTGTCAAATGCTTTAATTTCACCAACCATTTTCATTTAAAATAATCAGAAAGAAACAAATCAGTAGTAAAAGTTAAATTAAAAATATATCATTAAAACATAAATAAAATCTATCTAAACGCATAGACATGAGCTCATCTTGACTGACAGTAAAATCATTAAAATATTAAGCTTGGTTTGGTTTTTACCTGGCGGTAGATAAGATATCCAGTTTAGACTTTAGTCTGACGCGACCGACACAGCTGACTATTGGTAATAATTTTACAATTGCAGTAATTTTTTGTTATAGTAATGTTAGTTTTTTGTATAATATATAGGTATATATATATATATATTCACAGGTAGTGTCAAGAGTTATAATAAGCATCTAATTAATTTTAGTTATAAATTATCTGTACGTAATTTCGAAGTTTGATTATAATTGTGTTTTATGTTAATTACCTTTATACTTTCCCATTGTAGTTATTAAAGTTGAAATACACAGTATTTAATTAAAAAACGATAAATTCACTTCATATTAATTTTAACTACATATTTATATTTTTGCTGTCAGTAGTAGATTAAAATTCCATCACCATGATAATTCAATTAAATTTTTCCTTTGTGATGATTTAACATGACCTTGAATTAATTAGTGAAATAATCATTTTTATTGATAGTATAGTAAACAAATATTAAATCAGAAGATTTTTAAAAACTATAACTAACAGTAAAAATTGTAGCATAAGATCACAGGTTTTACATGATCCATTTTTATTAACGAATTTTCTAAAGTTTGCTAATGATGAAGGTCATCAACAGAAGTGACACTAAAATTTTTTTTATGTGAATTTTACTTAAAATTGCCGAATGTTATATAATTGTTTTTTGAATATCTAGTAAAGTTTTAACAAAAGAAGTTGAGATATAAATATCGGTGTTTGAGACTTAAATATTTTAGACCCTTACCCTTAAATATAGGCAAAATTATGACTTTTTTTCGTATAATTTCAAAGTTTAAGAGGTAATGAACTTGCTTAGAGATTATGAAGACTCAAGTCCTCATAAATATTTTTATAAACTTTCAAAATCAGCTGTTTTTTTTTAGAGGGGAGACAAAGCAATAAAATAAAGGACTTTGTAATTCGTTTTATGTCCAAACACGTATTTAAATATGAGATTAATACTCGCACTAACATATGGTAGATAGAAAAATGCTAAAATTAAAAAAAAAATTCAAATAATGGTATTGAATAATTTGTTACTATCGAAATTAATCTTTAAGAATAAATCCACAATAATTGAAGGTAATATTCAACTCGTTAGAAAATCGTTCGTAAACATTTTTGGAAACTGAAATTTTGGATTCTATTTGTAATATAAACTATGAAAATGGCTTAATAGTCATATAAAAATTGGCAAAAGATAATAAATAATTAACTTATTATTTTTTATAATGCTATACAGACCATTAAGGCCTTTTGCACGCTTCAACCAGACCTCTCCATACATTCCGGTCCATTGCATCCTCCAATCGCTTTGTTTCGCCGGTATCTGAAATATCTTTCTTAATTCTGTCTAACAATCGCTGACGAGATCTTCCCCTCAGCCACATTTTTGTTGGGTTTCGGATTAGGACATTTCGTATGACATTTTCACCAGCCCGCTAGACATGGTCAGCTCACTTTAATCGTTTCGCTTTTAAGGTCAATCCGATATTGGGTTTGTTATACAACCTTTCTAGTTCACCATAATTAACTTAGAGTAAATTTATTATATTTAAAAAAAAGGTTAAGGAATAAGTAGATTAATAGGGTGATGCGAAGATTCCGATTTGAATTTTGAATAACTAACTGAAACGTTTAAGTTTAACGGTTAAACTAATGTAATCGTAATAAAATAGAGCGTTCTACAAGAGAAAAATTTATTTTTCGTAGTAAAGTAGTTTATATATTCGTAAAATGTAGTAAAAGTACTATACTCATATTTCCTGAACTGCCAGAATCATTACTATGGTTCTAAATAAATGGTAAGTCTAAATATCAGCGTTTTCAGTTTTCAGCAATTTTTATTCATTTGGAGAAATTATTATGTTATATAATAATACATGACACAACTAACAGTTTTTTTTTCTGATGTTATTAAGAAAGTAATAGAAAATGATCATTTAAATGAATTACGAAATAAAATTCGTTATCATTATATCCAGTAAAATAAATCAGTAACGATACCATTTTGTTTAGTTACTCAGGATAGTAAATATTTCTTATCTATTTTGTCTGGATACTTGTTTGTTTACTTTATCAGAACTTTAACGCCCACTACTTACAGAATTCATTAAAAACTGATAATATTATTAATTAGGACACAATTGTCTAGTTGCTGTATTATGATATTTAAATTTATGATATATTGTTCGTAGTATTAACGTTTACAAAATCTTTTAGAAGTGTAAATTGATTTATCTTAAATTGTTTTTCTAAAATTATGAGTATTTAAAAAGGAAATTAACTGTCCATTTCAAGTACCTTTGTTTTAAGCAGTAAGTATTGTATATTACTTATCTTAAAAATGACATCTCTTTCAAAATTAAAAAATATTTTTAATGCTATCGTGTTAACTGTTAAATTATTAAAGAGTTTTAAAGTTTTTAATCAATTTTTTTCAATTAAATTATTCATAGAAAAATCATACAAGGTAATTGTATTATATTAAAATATTTAAATAATTTTGTAATTGTAATGTCAAATTTGATGTAATAGACTGGACCAATTTTAAAATTGTATTTTCAAATGAGCAACTGAGATTTAGGATAGATATCTACTTTTCTTTTATACTATCCTTGTATCTCTCTTTTTATGACATAAAAATATCTACATTTTGTGCACTAAGTGCAAACACTACTAGTCATCTTTTACCTTTCTAAAATGGTTTTATTTATTTATTATTTACAGTTACCTAATCTCATTTCTTGTACAGTCATTCTTATTATTATCACTACTTTTGATTTTCATAATATTTTCTGAATAATTCTATTTCTATTTTCTACATTTTAGTTTTTACGAATAATGGCAGAATTTGTAGAATATCAACCATACCACCATACAACATCATTAGTAACTCACAGTTATGGAGTTGAATTATTTCCCCAAATAAATAGCATTGTAAGTGCTAAGAAAAATTCCCCTGAAGAAGCTCTAAAGAAATTAAAACAGTTACTTCGGACAAAACCATGGAATGTAGAATATGGTTATTTAACTGGTATACTAAATTTGTTTTTTACGAAATAAACAATTAATCTTAGTATTACAAAAATAATAATAATTATAAAAAATTATAATAATAAACTATAAATTTAAATTAAAAATGTATTAAATTATAGTTAACTTACTATAATTAATTTAAATTAATATATATGGAAGTTAAAATGAAAGAGAGAAAATTTTTAAGAGAGCCATTATAAATATTATTAGCCCATATGTATAGACTTAAGATGACTTCACCAGGAAATTAACAAAATAGTATTTAATCTATTAAATTCTTTATTTATATTTTGATGTCTTATTCATAAAATGAATAAATATTTGTTTTCTGGAAAATTTTCTATAACTATAATATATAAACATTTATAATTAATTAACAAAAAAATTTGAATTTTCCAATGAATGATATTGTATTAAAAATGTGGATAATACAGTAGGACTTAATTTAGATAAAAATTATTGTTAAAAATATTAAATACAAATTGTTATAATTAAATTACAAACATTTTAGTTAAAAACTCGGTGTTCATTCACTGTTGTTGTTACACTATATAAATGTAGATATAAAAATGGAATAATATGCTTTATATCATTATTTTATTTTACTAAGACACCGATATTAAAATTAAATTTGTAATATTTATTATAAAATCAAACTCATTTTATCCAAAAATTGACTTGCAACACTTCTACCTCNCTCATTTTATCCAAAAGTTGACTTGCAACACTTCTACCTCTTACAACATTTACCTCTGCATACTATGTTAATTCAAGGATGAATATTATTGTTTTGAAATCAAGTAGTATTATAAAACATTTAATACAATTATTGAAAGATTTCAGTTCACTAATTTATTTAATAAGCTGAAATTGATTTTATACTTTTAACATGCTAGGAGAAAAATATTACATAAAACATCATTTGTTGGTTACATAATGATTTAAAAGATATTAATTGAACTTTGAATAGTTAGTAATTTTTATTTTATTCTATCGAATATATAAAATTATTAAAACATATATTTGTAAACTGTACCTAAATAATTCTCAAAACAGGTTTTCAAAGTATACTTTTTTAAAATTAAATATATATCTATAATATAAATTAAAAAATATTTATTTATATATTATATAATTTAAATATGACTATTAAATTTTTTAGAGCCTGTTAATGAAAGTATTTTAATAAAATTTCTATATGCAAGGAAAATGAAAGAAAACAAAGCATTGGAATTGATCCATAACTATCACCAATTTAGAAAGGAACACAGAGAATGGTTTTATCAGTTAGAACCATATGATCCGAAAATTCAGATGGCTCTTCAAGATGGATTTCCTTCTGTACTACCCAATTGTGATAGGTTAATTTTTTTACTTTATAATCTTAACATGCTTTTTTAATTAAGAATAATTTAAACTTTTGCTGAATTTTATGAATTTTAAAATTTTTATTTTTATGAATGTTGATAAAATTATGTAAACAACTAATTAGTTTTTCCAGATCATTGATAGTGTATATGTTTCTTTATTGTTATGAATATTTTCTGTATAAAATTTTTTTTTGTCTATATCAGTATAGCATTAATGACAAATTTTTTTTTATATATTTCTTGTATGACACAAAAATATTTAATATAATAAATTCCCTATAACTATAAATTTAAAATACATAGTAAATTTGTTTTATAAATAAATTTGTGATTTGTTAACACTAAATAATTTAAATTATTAGAGTATACATATTTTTTTTTCATAACTTTATTAAATAATATGAATTTTATATGGAAAGTAGAGTAAAATTTCTAAGTTTTAAAAACTATTATTTTCTAATTAATAATCAGATAATCTATCAATAATTAATAATATTATATAAATTGTAATTCATATATGTATAAATATATAATTTTAGAAAAAGCAGAAAAATTATTTTCATGGTATGTTCTCAGTGGAATACTGATCGCTATTGCTTATTGACAATATACAGAGCACTAATATTATCACTTGAGCATTTAGTTAAAAATACTCATACTCAGTACAATGGATTTGTAATAATTGTTGATTGGACCAATTTTACTACTCGACAAACAATGAATATCAATCCAAGAATTTTACGTATTATGCTACAAGGTTTACAAGATTGCTTTCCTGCCAAAATAAAAGCAGTTCATTTTATTAACCAACCATGGTATATAGAGGGTCTCATGTCAGTTGTAAAACCATTTCTTAAAGAAAAGACAAAAAATAAAGTAAATTATTACTTTCATTTCTTGTATACTATTTTATTAATGATGTGTATTTATTATTAGATTATAGTTCATGGATTAAATTTGAACACATTACATGATCATTTTCCTAAAGATGTTCTTCCATCTGAACTAGGTGGTGAACTTCCACCATATGACTCTAGAACATGGTTGAAATGTCTTTTGGAGTCATCCTTAGGTGTTTCTTTATGATTTTTATAGTATTTTATTTTAATTTAAAGTTATTTTTTAAATATTAAAATTAAACGAAGAACCGCTTAAATTTTCTTTATAAAAACTATTTTAATATTAAAATTATGAGTGTGACTAAATGAATATGATAGTCAAATTTACTAGTTTCTAACCTTCTTTGAAATGTGATACTAAATATTACTTGTTTTAATCAGTAAAAAAGATTAAATATCCTTTAATTACTTAAACTGGCTTTGTGGTAATAATTCTGGTCTATTTAAAATTAAAACATAAATATATTTAATTTTTTTAAATAATTGTTATTAAATAAGTCTGAAAAACTTAAATTAGAATAGACAGTATTTTTTTTTTATTTTAATTTTTAACAAATCAGAAAGTACATTTACCGTATTCTTCAAAGTATTGATATTATAGTATTTAAATAAATAAATAAAAGTGAAAACATTTTTATTAGAATTTGATTTTTATAGCAAGATTAGAAATATGTAAAATGTTTACTTAGTAATATTTTTATGTTCAATTCAAATAAATCTTTATATCTTAACTATTTTTCTTAAACATTTTTAATCTTAACTGTGATAAATAACTATTGTGAGCCATTTTTATATTAATTTAATTTAATGTTTATTTTCTTGTTACCATCAACATTAACATTAAAAGTTTATGTAGCTGGATAAATGGATCTAATTGTGAATACTTTATTTTTAAATAATTATTGTTAAAAATTTATTATTTTTTATTTAATTGAATTATTTTAATTATTACTATAAATTTACACTTTAAACTTATTAATTTTTCTTAGTATTATATTCTTTATAAAGTAAAAAATTGAATAAGTATTATTTTTCAAATGTATTAAAAAGTGAATATTTTCTAAAAGTATTTATAGACAAATTTTATTTTATTTTGTGTTCTATTTTTATGATATATTTTATTTAATGTTGTAGATTTTTAAATATGTAGATATATATTCTTAATTGTGTTTATTTCTTGTGGTGTATGGCTTTTAATTAATTATACTTAATATAAATCTTAATAACTATAAACTATTTTCATTAAATAAATTATAAATACACGGTGATCAGTTAATAATAAATCACTTGTTTACATGTAAAATAAATACATTATATGGAAAAACAATTTTTGATTTCTTTTAATTACATGTATTTCTTAATTCATCAGCCATTAATTACTTTTTAACATCATTCTTTATAACTCATAGGTATGTCATTTTTAAATGGTAATATACATATTTAAATAGCTTATACAATAAGAAATAATTTAATTATAATAAAATGATAGATCAACTGATAGCAATTTTTGGAACAATACTTCAGAAGTTATAATTATTTTTATACCTAGGCGAGACAAAAAGTGGTAGGGAAATGACTAGTGCTAAAAAAAGCTGCCCCCATTCTTCACCACCAATCTATACTTTAAATTGTTTATAACTAAGATGTAATCTAATTAATAAAATGACTAGTTGACTTATGTAAAAGTATATCAGAAGTTAATACAAATGAATTGTTTAGTAAAAAAATTATAATTGAAAAGTATTTAATGATCAACTATTGAACAATTTAGTGAACAAAAATAATATTATCAAAATATCATATATTTCAGTTTACGCTTTTTTTATATAAAAAAGGTATAAGTTTTTAAGATTAGAGAACAATTTTTTTTTTACTTATAATAAATATAAATATGAGCCAAACTGCATGAAAATAAAAATTATTTTTTAATTTTGAGTTTACTTGAGACTTATTAGAAACATATCATGCAATAACGCTATTATGATAAACACGCCACCAATTTTCAACTTATAATTTTGAAACTAAAAAATTTGTATTCTACAATAAAAATTAAATTATTTTGATACACTAATCATAATATTTAACCAAAAATTGAATAACAGAGGCCATTTTTTGTTTTCCAGGCAATTTTTGGTCAAAATACTAAAAACACGTCGAGCGCGACCAGTAAAAATATCAAATTTTCATAAAATGTCTTCTATAATGTATATAATTAAGTTAAAAGGATTCTCATAAAAATTAATTAAATCTATTAATAATTTTTTATTTAATTCCAATAAGAAAGTCGTGGAGGTGAACCGATCCCTATTAATCAAGTTTAATCCTTTTAGTCGTCAATTTTTAGATATAAGAAGATGCTACTTAATAAAAACTTTAAAGAAGATAACTAAATTAAAAAATAATTAGTCGATAAAAATTATAATTTTTTGCATCAGGACTCTATGTATCTTACAGTAAAAATAGGCAAATTTTTTGCAAAAAATTTTTCTACCGAAATTTTCCATCCCTAGTAAAAAAAATCAAGTGATCAAAGAAATGATCACTGTATTCCTCGACTGATTATATGAATTCAAATCAGAGGTGGACCAAGCAGGAAAGTGATAGGGTGGTGCAATGTCATCCTTGGATCGTTTAAATAGCTCTGCAAAACAATTATGAATTTAAAAAATCCTGTCAAAATCAAGTTCATTAAAAAATATGAAATTTTGTGACACACTAATGAATTAGGAGGAACAACATCTCCGGGTACTATTTAGTTCTTAATCTGGTCCTGTCTATGTGGGCCCAAGTATAACAATGTGCCACAGCACACTGGTCAATAGTAGTGTTAATAATGTTTAAAGAAAGTATCAATTGGTACTTCTGACAAAGATACAACGGTATGTAGATATTAATTATTTAGAAAATATGAAAAAAACTCAGCAAATTAATTATCGAACTTCGTTCTTTCGTAGTTAGGAGAAAACCATCCTCATGTGTTGGTAAATCTAGTTTTTAATAATATTTCACACAAACAAAATATTTGTATCAGTTTTGATGCATATTTAAAAAATTCTCATTGGTCAACAAAAAAAAAAATTTATTTAAAGTATATAATCTGTTATGTCACTTAGTTGATTAGAAAAGGGTTAAAAATATATAACTAGATATGAAAATATTTTCGCTGTGCGTCATTCATTTCGCCCTGTTCACTTTTTTTAAAAAATTAATTGATCAATAATTTACATTATATTCTATGATTGAACACGTATATTAACTAACACGTATTTTGAAAAAAATAAATCTCACAAAAATTTACAATTTTCTTTCAATGCATAATAACTACAAAAATATTGCATTATGTATTTTAACATAATTATCGCTATCAAATGTAATTCTTAATAGAGGTTGCCTTCGAAACAGAAGTTGTTGGCAACGGTTATGTAATATCAATTCGTATCTCAATTTATGACATACCTAATTCGAAATTAGTTTAACTTATTTCGAATGATGTTGTTTAAAATTTAATGAAATGGAGTACGATACAATTTTACTTAAGTTATTTTGGTAATAAATTTTATATTATTGGCTGTAGATATTGTTATGAGATATCTGAATAAAAAGTAGAAATTACTCAAATCAAGTATCATTAATGTAATATTTTCTAACGTACTACTGAAGACACGTTTAATTTTACACGCATCACCTTAAGATATTTCTATACAATTTTACAGTTCATACGTAAAAGATTTGATTCGTGAACGCCAAGAGCAATAATTTATCTCATTCTTCAAGGGTTACTAGTCTTTGTTTAGTGACGTCTAAAGTAATTTCATTTATTAAGTTTAAACACTAAAAATGCATTGTGGCGGGAGAAACAGGAAACTTGTACCGGACAGCACGATAGGACGGAAGGGTAAACGGAGGTCTAGCGACGCACGTTGATTTCCGTCATGTTGTTAGGCTCTCGTACATACACACGCGCACATACTGATATATTTACACGACCCCCTCACCAGTCACCCGGTCAGGCGCCAACGTACAAATGCGTCGCTTGTACAGCAGCTGCCTGCCAACACATAGCGCACTTACAGTGTTTCGGTGTTTTGCTCTACTCTAGTATTCTCTGACCTAATGCACGTTACTATTGTAAAGAAGTGATATTATCGAATAGGTACTCAAAACGGTGACCGGTGACTGCCGGCAACGATAGTTATCATACGGCCGTCCAGTCGCACGTTGCTGCGGTACTGCTCGTAATCGAGTTGCCGTTTATTTATTAAAAAAACCATTAACTTATTATATTAAAGTGAACCTTTTTATCGAACGAAACTACGATGAGTGTATCGGAATATTTGCCTTTTGCCAACTGCATTTTGCATTTAATTGCAGCAGTTACTATGGTGTACTCGGTGTACTTTAATTTTTTCCATGTTAATATACCCAATCATGTTAATCCGATTGATTCTGCATTTGGCGGAAAATTCAAATATCTTACATTTTTAAATGGGGTAAGTATCAAAGATTTTCAAATACTTATTAATCGTTATTTTTTATGTATATTTATATAATTAACAAAATAACTAATTGCTGGTGTAATATTGGGGAGATATTCCCCACGACAAAATTATTATATGACGAAGATACGAATTTTTTGCGTTTGGAGGCGAAAGTGAAAATTTTTCTTACGTTTATCCACAAGACGAAATTAATTGCACCACTGTAACTAATAATTTACTAAGTCTTAATTTTTTTCCATTTTATGTATTCTGTAGATTTTAATATTTAAGTAATAAAAAATAATTGACGATATAGACTTAAAGTACCTGTGTATTGTATTTCGTTCTTAACATTCATGGTCATATTAAAACTATCACAAATCGTAACTATTTTTGTACGCTATTACCTCTGTTTTCATTGAACTTCCGTGTTGAAAAAATTGTATAATTATGCTGACTAATTAGACATCGAATGTCACTATATGTATAAATCACTGGCATTTACATAGGCGCAATCTGGGAGTCTAGAGAGGGTTTAGCCTCCCTCCAAAATTTATAAATTATATGTAAATTTATATAGAAAAATGTTTAAGGAGGGGATCTAAAAAAAAAATGAGTCTGTGCGTGATAGACTCACAGACGTATTTTTGAAATCAGTGTCGATTTAAAAAATTAACTTACCTGCTCTTTCAAATATTCTTAATATTCATATTATATTATATTTCAGTCTGTTATAATTAATAATGTGAACTTAAATTTCGACATCCAAGTATAGTTCAGCTCTTAAGTCATTTTTACTATTATTTTTACGACTACAATTTTTGTAAAAAATATATAATAATATTGTAATATGATTGCAAAAACAGTTAGCTACAAAAGCGTAATTTTACTGTAGAGCATAAAAAAAATATATAGCTCTAAATGTCAATTTTAGGTCTCTGATAACACCGTGAATCATATTTAAACATCATTATTTATTCCAGTATTTCAAAATTATGAGATAAAAGTTTTTGTCTTAATAGTACATTATTATTATTATTATTATTATTAATATTCGGAAATCCCAATTTAACTATACAATACGTCCTGTTGCACATTTGCGACAAATTCAAAAACAGTTATTTATTAGGCATGTATTTTATATATGGTGCACTTAATTTTTAAATACGTTATAAAATATATTATTATAAGTATACAACCTCATTGAATATAGATTTTAACAATTTTAAAGTAAATAATATTTAGTAAAAATAATTGTTTAAAGTATTTATTGTTTTTTCTCATATCTCTTTCACTACGTTGAAAAAGTTAGTTTGAAGGTTAAAATCACGAAATAATTTTTAAATTTTAACATTTAATTTAAGTTTTACTTTATATGGCTTATAATAGTGTATAATTTATAACTCATAAAATACGTTTCAGTCAGATTAGTTAATCATTAAAATAATATATAGACTTATGGTAGAAAAGTTTTTATTTATTTTGTTAATTAAATAAAAAGTTATTTATCTGAAAATTATACTGCCCGAATTAAAATAGATGATATTCTTATAAAATAAGTGAAAAATTGGTTTAAGCTTTTTTCTTTTGTGACCAAACAGTTAATAATATTACTTAGATTCATAAAATATTTTTGTATAATTTTTTTCGAATTTCACCCTATAAACTGATTATAAACCAAATTTTGTCAGAATTTCAATAAAACATCACATGGCCTACAAAATAAAGGCATTTTATCCTACAGGATTAGGAGCAATTTTATAGGTGACGAGAGTGTTATTTACCCAAATGTTCATAAATTTTAAAATTGTGAAATATTTTATTCACCTAAGTACTTAAGAACGTCAAATTTATCTTAAATAAAATTCACTTCACACTTCCTAAAAATAAACTATAGGATCCAGTACAGGATAGATGGATACAAGACGGTCATTTCTCTTGTCAATAAATATGTGAATGGAAATTTAAAATATCATTTCGTATGATGTTTTTTTTGTAGACTTAATCCTCAAAAATTAATTTATCTAAAATTAATGTTTAATAAACTGTGTTGAAACATGTAAAAATTATATGATTGGCTTAACTTAATAATGTTAATTACTAAACAAAAGAATGCTATTATAATAAAATGTGCTTGTCCATTAATTTCTAATAAACTGTATTGTATTAAACAATAAAACCATTCTACGAAATTTAATCTTTCGGTTAGATATTTTTTCTGTTCTTATCTTTTTCTAAAGGCAAATGAATAAATCTGTAGTTAACCCTTTGACTACTATAAATTGTTAATGTCTCTAGGAAATATACAATTGAAACATATTTTTCCAAGAACTACGCCTAACTAAATTTTTATTTAATTCAAATTTGATTATTTAATGCAACAGTTTAGAATACAAAACAATGTAATGAGGCCACAAATCATAAAAGTTATGCTTTCTTAAAATCAATTTTAAAATTTTATGTGAAAAAATAATTCATTAAATGAAATATATTTCTAGGTATTGTTTATTTGTTACTTTATATTGTAAAAGGCAATATTTTTATTAAATGGCTAATTTATTGTACACAATATTTAGTTTACTTCATACATAATAATAATAATTGTTTGTGATTTGTATGTTAAGCTCATTAAAACTTTATAATAATTTATATAAATAAAGTGAAAATTATTAATGTATATATATCTTATATATTTTAACTTATTAATAGATATTTATTTTATTATTGTATAGGTTAACAATGTATACTTCATTATATATTCATAAATCTCTTATACTTATTCTTTCTTTTTTTCTTTTATTAAAATTTTTATAAATAAAGTTAAAGATTAAGAATTTAAGAGTAACTACTATAATCAGTCCTTACGCAATATTCGTATTAATATTTATATGGTATTGTTAAGAAAAAATGAATAATGCAATATTATTCGGTTAATTTCTACATTAAATTTAGATCAAGAAAAGATAATTAGGCCACTCAAGGGCTTTATTCCTTAATTTTGTAGTCTTTCTGAGATAAAATTATGTTTTAATTAAAGAAAATATATCAATTCATTTAAGTATTCAATTAATTTAAATAAAATTAATGCATTGGTTTTCGAATTTTGTTTATTTGGACCAAGTCAATATTATTTTGATTTAATTAATTAATTAATTAATTAATTTGATTTATTAACTTGATATGTTAAAATATTTCTAACAATAGAATAATATATTAAAAATTACGTAAAAATGATTTCGAGGATTGAATTTTTATAAATTTTTGATATACGTTAAACTCATTAGTTTAATTTCTAGTTTTAATTAACACGCTTTTATTAGTTTCACGTGTATGTTTGTTGTTTGTTGTTTGTTGTTTGTTTGTAAGTTTGTAACTCTCCAAACGCCACGCGTTATCGCATATTCCGTTGTCTAGACTAGACTGTTATACGCATTCACCCCTCCCCACGCCTCGCTCACAATACGACGGTACACTATTCCTATAAAAATTTATTTTTAGTTATCGTACCCGTACACGCGTGCTTGTCATCAATATTATATATATGTAAACAAATTTTTATTTTGACTGACCAATAACGCCCGCGTCTAATGCGCCTTACGTATATATATATATATTCCTACCGCCGTTTATACCTCGGGTATAACGTTAGTCCGACCCGCCCGGCCATAAAACACAGCTATACTTAGTGCATGATACTTTTACGTAGTTAAGTCGCATTATTTGTATAAATATATATATTCTAATTACTATTAAAATTAATATATTAACACGATTTATTCTAATTAAGAGATATAAAGTATTCATTCCGATTACGAGGGATGATTTCCGTATCGTCATTTTTCGTCACTACCTCCACGTTCCGGGAGTGAGTAATTTACGCGCCTGCTGCTTTCCTTGGATGTGGTAGCCGTTTCTCAGACTCCCTCCCCAGAATCGAACCCTGATTTCCCGTTACCCGTAACAACCATGATATTGATAGTAACTACTATCATAACATGAAACTAAAAAGTAAAAAATAAATATAGTTTAAAAAACTAAAAAAACACGCTTTTAAAGTACATCGAACTAAAAAGTTAAAAATAATTTTTAAAATAATTATGAACAAAAAATACTAGTATTATTGTGATAAAAGCGTGGGTGCTTTGTGCCATATTTTTCGTATATTGAGCGCCCGACGCTTTTATCACAATAATACTAGTATTTTTTGTTCATAATTATTTTAAAAATTATTTTTAACTTTTTAGTTCGATGTACTTTAAAAGCGTGTTTTTTTAGTTTTTTAAACTATATTTATTTTGTAAACGTTTTAATTCTTCTGCTTTATTTTATTACTGAATTATTAATGTGATTTTCAAACGTCTATATTTTAAGTATATTTATTTATACCATATTAGTATTTAAAGTGATTAACGATTTAGATGCGTTTTAATTCTACAATTCTACATAATAGACTTAATTTTAGTAATGCACTAATAATTAAAAAAAAATAAAAACATCGTTTTAACTTGTTAACAAAAGATTACTCATAAGTTTCTCTTTATAGATAAGCATTTGTGACATAATATTTAAACTATATTATTGATTGTATAAGAAATCTAAAGTCTATATTAATTTTTTCTCAAATCAGTTTTTACTTGAAATCCGAAAAAAAATTTTTGAATAATATATTAGTTCTAAAATATTATAGATGTTTTGATCATGTATTAATTTAAATTATATTAATCATTTAAAAAATCACCTTATTTTATTTAAATAATTATTTCGTTACTTCATTGAAATATATTTTTATGTTAATAAATTATTTGTTAAAATCATGAATATATATATATATATATATTTATGAAAATGAAATTGTTGTTACAAAATCGTAGTATGTTATTTTAATTTAAATAATTTAATAAATTAATGAAGTTATTTTATAATTGCTTAACTTAATCTATTTTATATATGATGAAATAAATAAAATCAAGATATTTGTTAAAATAATTTGTAATGAGGTAATTATGTAATGAAGTTTGATTGTCATTCAGCCGACAACGATTATATTGTAGACTATAATTTTTTTATCACCATTGACCCACTTCATTTTTTGGTTATCATTTATGTTTAGCAATATGTATACACTGTAAGTGTATGTATTCTTTTATACATAAATATAGTATTATACTATGTATGATATTATTCTATATTTTATTCTACTTATCTTTTAACGTCCTTTCTGAAAAATATGCTTGTGTTAGTGATGACTGGTAAACCTTCAAAATCAAAACAGAATCGAACCCTCTACTTAAGATGCAACGCGTTCCCGACTAAGCTTATTTAAAAATTCTGTTAAAATATTTTAGTTTAATTACCTTATCAGGGTCAATTGTTAATGAATAAATGACATTGCTTTAAATCATCTAAATAATCAAATTAATTACTTTACTTACTTGTAAGTAATAACGTTTAGAAATAATGTTTAATATCTATAAGCTCACATAACAACAATATGTTATATTAATAATAAAAATGTTACTGTAGTTTTTATATTATAATAAAAATCAGCTAACGTGTACTAATAGGAGTTTTGTGTCCTTGGCTATTATTTTATTATACATAGTTTTTTTTTTTGCCAGTTAAGTTTGTAACTAATATAAAACTTTAGCATTAATTAGGCATGTGTACAGAGGAAGGCAGTTAGGATGGGCATTTTTAAATTGTATATTAGTTTGTAAATTCAATTTTTTTTTATGCTAAATTTTAATACTTCGTTTTTCCATATATTTTACATTCTTTGAAAATGTTCACTGGATTTGCATCTAGCTCTAACAAAATAAATCACTGTTTCTGTAGTAAATAGTAGTAATAAATATAATTATTCAGACTGTGGCTGAATTAAGGGGAAAGGAAATAAAGGAATCTATATCACCAGATTCCTATAATTATACATTATTATATTCGAATGATAATCCAAGCAGGAAGGATAATAAGAGTGTATGTTATATCTTCCCGCACGAGGTTTCGCGCTTTAAGGAACCTTTAAACTAAATTGATGGCCAAAGAAAAACCGATTTAATTTAAATTTTATTCTTTAAAACGCCCTTTGATTTGAGGGTCGTAATTATTTTCTTATTATTTTTCTTATCTGTAACTATTTTGATTATAGATTTAGCAAGTTGTTATCTCATTCATTTGTTTTTTATCTTAACATTGTTTCTTAAACAATAATTTGTTCTGGTAGTAAATTAACTATAAAAATGGGGGAATTTTTAATTATGAATTTTCTTTATCTTCGAGTGATAATGACTCAATAAATAGACCTCTAATGATAGTTGAGATTATGACACTATTATTTAGTGATACAGATCAGGGAAGTTTTGAGTAATCAGGAGAGGAATAAATATGAAATAAAATAAAAAAAAAACACTTCCAAAGTAGTTCATACTTAGTTAACCAAGAAATGTAGTTGAGAAAGTTTTATTAATCCCTTGTTTTTGATCTATGACCATAATGGCGGAGAAATATACACCATATTGTTTATCACACATAATCAGAAGTTTTAAGGAACATAGTGGTGTTTATTATTGGTTATTTAGTTATTTAAACAAAATTATTTGAAAATTTAAATCGTGCAGTATTTCTGTCTCACTATTAAAAATATAATCATTTTCATTATAGGGAGTATAACACTTATCCACTCCGCTTGGTACTGATTTAAATTTATATTCCTTCCCTTTTGTGAACGCCCTATTACAAATATTATTCATTTTAAAATAAGATCAATACAGCGAAAAGTTATTTAAATTTAGACCGATAAATAAATGATAAATGCATGTTGAATTGTTATTTCTATTAATTAAAAGTTATAATAACTATTATAAGATCAATTAAACTTTATGACTTTAAGGAAATATGATTTTAGCATATAGCTTGGGAATAATTCTTAAATCTTATGTAAATTATGTAGTTATAGTGGAACAATCATTTAATTTTTTTTTAAGGTTATTATGGTAACTTTAATTAATANTTATGTAATTATAGTGGAACAATCATTTAATTTTTTTTTAAGGTTATTATGGTAACTTTGATTAATAAAAGATTTCATGAAAATATCAAAAAAAATATTTAATATATTAATTTTAACCATAGAAACCTATTAGTTGTCTTTTTTTCATTATTTTTTTTTCAAATTTTCTTATGAAATCGGAGAAAAAACACGATTTGCATTTGCAAACTTTTTACAGAAGTTATATAACATTTTGCCTAAAAAAGTAGTGTTTGAGTTTATGAACTAATATTTATTATTAATTTTTCTATATTTATTCTCTATCAATTATTTTATGTTAATTATTGATGCTATTTTAAGTTAGACTTTTATTTTTGAGCTTAAAATTGTGTTTAAGATATTTTTATATAAATATAAACTTATATAACTAGAAATTTAGTATTTATGGATTAATAATTTTAGTTTTCAACTGCACATTTTTTGTTTGATTTAAAATTGAAGATTTTACATAATTAAATTCACTATTTTTTTTTTTTTTTAAAGTATTTAACTTATTGATTAATTTAGAAAATATTAACAAATTCACTGAATTTAATATTGTAAACTGTAAACTGTAGTTAATCTAAAATTTTATCGTAAACAACTGTATTGTTACCGATAATCGATTATTTATAATTAATGTATTATAATAGAATATATTAATAATGTATACTATATGTAAGCATATAAACGTAATAGTTTTTTTAAGTTGTTTTAAACATAGATATTTTAACACTTTGTTCATAGTTGTGTTAATATAAGAATTAATTTAGCATATTTGAGAATTGTTTATAATATACCTTAATATTTATGCTACAAAATAGTATGAATTTCCAGTCCCAAGAAAGAAAATAAAAAATTATCCTCTTTAAATATTACAGCTAAAATATACTATTACAAATAATAATTTAATAATATGTATATATTTAGATTATTTTAGACAAATATTTTAATAGCATTTTTGTTAATTTTCAAAACAAAAATATGTTTATACTCAAATAAAAAAATCTATAGGAAAATTAAGCAATACACATTAAAAAAATAGCAGTAACAATAACCTTCTTTACGTTTGCATTGGACTACTAAATTTATAGTTAATAGTACGAAAGCGATTGTAGATTTCGTTACAGTTTGATTTCTCAGCATGTTTTCTGCTTTGTGGACACTGTAATATGCTTAATATGTAAAATATTCCAATAAACAGTGACATAGTAGCAACAATACGATTTTATTTTACGGTTTTTTTTTATAATTATCATTTCAAGTATTGAATTATTGCAAAGAATAATATAGCGATTTAGAAATTTATAAATAATAATCTATTTTATATACCTAGTGATTTTGTTAGATTTTAATCCTTTAAATTAAGTTCTTACTTGAAATCAGTTATTCCCATACTAAAAGTTATTTAAAAAAATTAACAATAATTAAAATTGAACTACCTCTAGTTTAAAAAATACATTTTTTCATGATATATATTTTGTATTTATTTACAGTGTTTTTCCGCATTGTTTTTTACCTATGCAGTAGTCATAGATGCAAGTTTAATCGTTTTCTCACCAGATTCGCCAGTTTTTGACAAATTAGTTCAAATAAAGAGCTATTTCTTTGCCAGTATAACTTTTCCTCTGAGTATGGTAAGTATTTTGTATAACTATTTATAAAATTCTTAAATAATTATTTTCAAGTAAAAATTAGAAACCACTATTATATTTGTGATGAATTTTTCTTGATTTAATATAATATAAACATTATTCATTTTAAATTATTTAAAATATAATTGTATTTATTATCATTGTCATAAAAATATATGTTGAAAGCAGGTAATGAATGTTTTAAATTTTGAGTGTTAGTATTTTATTTTGATTTTAAATTGTAATTTTTTATAAAAAAAACCTTTGATACACTAATTAAGTATGGAAATAAATGGGTTAGCCAAGTCAATGCATGGCAATTAATACTAAGAAAACTTAAATCATTTAATTTGTACTCCGCTTATTGAAATTTCAATGCTATTACGTTAAACCTTATAGGAAGTAAACCGGTTTAGTCGGAAGATTCTTTAAAGGTAAAACGTTGTTACAAGTATTTCAAACATAGTTATGTGTTAAGACCTGAAGTCATTATGGCGTCAATTTTATATATATATATAAGATTAAAAGCTTATTACGATTAAGCTTCTAATACATTAACATGATATCCAAACCAGAATCTATAAACATAAATTATTTTATAAAAAAAATAATTTTTATCTTAGTCATAGTAATAACACTTCGTATGTAAGTTACTAGTTAAGAATAATAAAATTAGATTACATTAAAATTTCTATAATTTCGTTTTATTTGTTTTGACTGGCTTGCATCTTCTATAAATTTCGTATATTTAATTCAGTCAAAATGTCACATCATCATAATCAGTATAATCGTTGATTTTTAATAATTAAATAATTATTATGATCAAGTACTACATGTTTGATTATCATTTTCACACGTTATATTAATCTTAAAATGTTTTTTCGATTATAAAATAAATTACATTTAGGAAAAACGCGTATGAATAAAAAATTGTTTGCATTTACACCCTATTTATATTTTCTAGGTTATTGAATTATTTACATGCATATTAATGAATAACAATATGTTGGCAACATTCTTTTCTGTTTGTAAATAAACCAAGGTTGAGCATATTGTTGTAAGCCGAATTTTTAATTTTTTTCAGTTGCCAGCGATATTAAAAACCTTATGCGGATCAGTTAATTTATAATTATTGTTAAACTTTCGAATTGAAAAAAAATGAATTTGAAAATTTCTTTGTATTAATCATATTCGAGTTGACGAACTCAGAAAACAAATCAGGCTTAATAAAACTATATTATTTATATTTACACATCTTCAACTATTATTTAGGTTGTAAATATTATATATTACTAGTTTAAGACAAGCACAAAATATTTCATTTTGTTGAATATTTTAAATTACTATTCCAATTATAGTCAGTGTTGGTCAAATGATTTTGCCATGGGAGGGGATGAAAAACTTTTATGATAAATATCATCATAGGAGTTGTGCCCTCGTACCCCAGAGCTTTTTTATTTGTATTACTACGTCAAGATGTTATGAAGGACTATTACATATAAATAAATATCTTTCTTCTTATTAAGCCTATTTCAAATTTTAAATATATATTAAAATAGTATCTCGTTGAATTTACCTACCTATAAATAATAACTTTAGCTTAAAATTTAATATAATATTGTAGGATTAATCATTATTTTTATTTTATCAAAAACTTTTTATTTAAATTATCATTATATAAAATAAATATAATGAAGATTGTACAATAACGTCAAAAAAGGTCTGTCAGTGTGAGGGATCTATTCCCTTAATCCTGCTACATTTGACCGCTCTTGATTATAGTATTATAGAATATATAAGAATATGTTATGTTTTTTAAACAATTTAATATGGTCATAAATTATTTCTTAATAAATATTTATCATAAATTATAACTAATGATAGTAATATAATACTTTTAAGTGAACGATGATAAATTGTTTGATTACGTACTATTTTATTTTCATTTAAATATATGGCAAAAGTATATAAAGACCACTGTATCTTACTTTAAATGACTTTTTTATTATTGTTAAAAAAATAACACAATAATATAATAATATTATTATAGATTAAAACTATCATCATGGAGCTGTTTAAAATTTTTTATGTATTTTATAGTTTGTTTCAACGACTTTCTGGAGCTTGTGGTTTATCAACCGTAATTTGGTGATGCCTCATGATTTCGATTTATACTTTCCTAACTGGTTGAATCACACAATGCACACATTTGTTTTCATATTTGCTCTTTTGGAAATGATTACAGCCTATCGTTCTTACCCTCCACGAATTATTGGTTTGTGTATTCATCTAGGTCTACAATTGTTATATCTCATATGGTAAGTATATTGACCCTTTACATTAAAACTATTTGTACTTAATTCTAAATAATAAATAATAATAAAACTAAATTGAGTACTGGTCAATTAAATAAGCTTTAAAGTTGTTTTTTGTGTGACTATGAAAAGTTTTTTAGCTTCGATGCGAAGCTGAGAAGGTATTAATTTTACTATGATGTGTTTTTTTTTTTTTTTATGTCTGTTGCCACTTTTTCTCAGCTCTCACTGGACCGATTTCTTTCCAAAATACGTCAAAAGATCACAAATCGTATCTAGTTGGAGACATTACCCTTAAAAATTAAAAAATATTCCCTCGTTCCCCGCAAATGGGGGAAACCTCCAAAAAAATTACAAATTTAAAAATCGCTAATTTTCGAAATTTTCGAAATTTTTTTTACTAAAAAATGCCGTAACTTTATCAAAAATGAACATATAAATATAATTTTTTTTTTATATAGATGCTTGATGTCTTTACCTATCATTTGATATATTTTTTTGTAAATTTGACCCTTTATCTGCCCACAGGGGGGGATTTAAAATGACAACTTTTTTACAAAAAATTAACTTTTTCAACTTAATTTTTGAAAATGTTCCTAAAATACTGCGTCCTTTAAACATATATCAAATTAAAGCTTATTTTATGTACTATAAAATGAAAAAAAAAATTTGTCCCGACGATCTATCTTCTATGTGCAAATGGCTACCTTATTCAAAAATATGCTATTTTTCTATTAAAATTCTAGGTTTTGTATTTTATTTTATTTTAGAATATTTTATTAGGAGAATATATTGACTTTCATGAATATTATATAATTTAATTGACATAGAATAAAGTTCATAAGACATAAGATATTAAACTTATTAAATTTTTTTTACTTTTTTAAAGTCGAAAAAGTAATTTTTAAATTTGAGTTAGCTTAAATAGCCAATTTTTTTAGCTTCGATGCGAATTTTTTATATGTAAATACTAATTTTTAATAATATTAAAACTGAGAAGTGATAGAAAAAGTCTAATTGCAGATTTGAAAACATCACGAAAAGTTGATTTAGAATGGTATATTTTTGTTACTGATGAAAGTTTCTTGTAGTTCAGTGCATTTATTTATAGTAACAAACAGATTTTATTGAAATTTATTGTATCATACCCTTTAAATTTTTATACAGGTAAAAATAAAGCAAAATACAACTTTTTTATTATTTTTATAATATCTCCGTTTAAATTACAATATTAAATTATTGAATATCAATTTCATACTAAATTTAATAATTATAATTAGTATTTATTCATAAATTATATTTTAAAATCAAAGAACTACTAATTAGGATATAATCAAAGAAATAAGAGTTGATGTTGCTTTTGGAATAATCCATCAATTTCTCTAAATGAAACACTATCTACAGATTTGCATCGAAGCGTTTCTTATGATAGTGATTTTAATCACTGTCAAATATCATCTATACTTGTCCCATCTATGCCTTGTCTACACTGTGCCTCGACCCCACTGTGCTACCGTTTTTTTTTATAATTGCAGAAGTAAAATTTAAATTATCATTTCAGCTTTAAAAAATTTAGTGTTTTATTTTTTTTCAGTAATAACAGTTATTACTGAAAATAGTTAGTATTTTCAAATAAAAATACATTGAACTTATATCAAATTACATATGTGCTATTTATTTAATTTAAATGTTTATGAAAGTATCATTTGTTTGCAGGATTCATATTGTATACAGTCAATGTGATCAATGGGTGTATCCGATTCTTACCGAGTTGAACATGTTATTTAGGTGGTTATTCTTCTTGGGCACATTCATTTACACTGGCACTCTGTACCTAATTGGAGAATATGTTAACAAAATAGTGTGGGGATATCAACCCCTAAAGGTACAAAATGAGTACAGCCCGTAGATGTTATGCTATTTAAGCATTTTTCGATGAAAACAGTATTGTTGGATTCAGTGATGAGACTGTGTCATTTTAAAAAAACGAATCTCTAGTATATTAGTAAAAAATTATTATATTTTTTTATGTTTTGACTTGTGTACTGACATTAAAATTATCTTTGCTGTATTATTAATACTTCACGAATTAGTTAAAAATTAAGGATTGGATGGATTATTTATTTTTATTGTTTATTTTTTTCCACGGTGAATTTGATGATTAAATACACTTAATATTAATATTGAATTTTAAATCAATATATCTATTACGTTATTTTAATAGTAGTCATAGGATAAATTTTATATTTCGTTAGTTTGAAACAACCAAGTTCGTGTCAACTTATAATGATGCATCATAAATTACTCAAGGAGTAAAATTTGTTCGCAGGTTCAAGAAAAACAACAGTAATGATTTATTTCAACCACTTGATTATCAAAATTTTTATGGTGCTAAATAAAATTATTATTAATATTAGAAATGTTTTGCATGAATAATAATAATTTTTTTTTTTTGAGATTTAAATGTATGTTTATTATTAGTACTAAAAACCGCGTAAATTATTTTTTTACCAAACTAATTGTATGTTTTTTGTGGATTGAGGCCTTTTAATATTTAACATATTTTTACCTAATACTATGTCGGTAACTTAATTTTAACAATAAAATACATAACATTGTTTTTATTAATATTGAGTTGTATATTTTTTAAATTAGTTTTAGTGTAATGTGTTTACTAAACCAGCAAAACTTTAGTTTTGTAGATTGAATCAAATTGATTAATTTGTAATATAAAAATTGTTAACTAAGAAAGAATTATTTTTTTATTGTGAAAAATAAAATTAGTGTTTTAATTAATATCGAAAACTTAATGTTTGTAATTTATTTATTAACATACGATTGTGTGCTGCTATTAGACATTTAGTAATGGACGGTTAATTTTGATGTCACATCCATCCATTTGAAAATGTTTTAAATCATTTTAGTCAGAAATTTTTTTATATGCTACCAAAAAAATAAAATAAAAGTTACTATTGAGAAAAATTCAAATGACAACAATAAATTTTTTACTACACATAGGGCTGTATTAGTATTTATATAGGTCCGGGGCGATACCTTGATATTGGCTCCCTATAGAAAATATTACTTCCTTAAAAGTGATAAACCAAAAAAAACAGAAAAACTGTATGTCATTTATCATGACAGGCTAATCAAATTTGTGATGGGCCAATTACAAAAATAAAAACAAGGATACATAAGTTAGTTATAAAAAAAAAAATATGTATAGTTAGCAGTTAAATAGATAAAATTATAAGACTCGTTAAATTTAATTAGCATTTTGTTTTTTCTTCTGCAGAAAATATTTAAACAAATGTAATGTACTTTCTGTAATAATTCTACTTGATTTGTACAATTAAAAATTTTTGAGGGTAAAATAAAATTCATAACTATAAAGTATAATTTACCATCTATTAAACAAAAATTGTGAAATAATAAAAATAACATAATTTATGATTTAAATAAAATAAGATACACATGAAAATTAAATATATAATATAATAATAAATTTTAATAATATAAACAATTATATACAATTAATTATCAATTTAACAAGTACACAATTCAATCTTAGCTATAGCATTAAATGATAATACAAAGGTCATGATTTAGTGACTATTTTATTTAAAACATTCCTATATAATAACAAATTCACAATCACCAGTTCATTTGTATTTATAAACTTAAATATAAGAATTGGTCTTATAAGTTCAAAGGATTAGTTTGTACTAATCCTCCATTTTGACAGACTTGTTCAGCAATGCTGCTCATTTTTGAAAAATTATCTAAATGTTTGCCAGACTTTAATTGCATTAGGTTATTGGTTACTCTATCACTAGCCTAAAGAAAAAAAATCAAAATAGTAATAATTATTTTTTTTCAACTTCACCCATTTTGGGTGTTTGATATTAGATACCCTAAGCCTTAGGGTATCTAATATAATATAATTTAATATAGTATAAGGTCACCTTAGGGCCTAAGGTGACCTGGTATTACTAGGAAAAGAATAAGTGCAGTGGTTTCCTGTTACCTTTGTACTGGGAATATGGTATTTTTTGCCACCATGAAACACACATATGGTCACCCATACATGTGCTATACACTACGATGGCAAGCAGAAATACACTAGAATTTTGTCAACATCTAGTGTGTCCAACACACCACACCACAAAAATCATATTAAAAAAAATGTTAATTAAAATGTACCGACCTCTGAACAATATATTTGAGTAAGTAATGCTTCATACTCGGCTGTTGGAAGGCCTTTATTTAATGCTCTAGTAGCTCTTGATAGTACTACTGACATAGTATATGTATCAATAGCTGCTTGAGCTAATCTGTTAAGAAGAAATTGCTTATCGATAATGCCTTTTCCATGTTTAATTAACAATGACTCTACAGCTGGACCAAATAATCCAACACTCTGTTATATGTAAGTATATATTAAAAAAATAATAATATAGACTAGTAAATGTAATTACTTGTCCAGCAAGATTTGCTGCATCAGACAATTTGGGATGGACAAGATGATTTAATGAAGGTGCTGAATTAAAACCAACAGAATACAAAGTACGCTTTTTGACTTCTTCAAGAATTAAACCTAAATGAGCAGTTGGATTTTTGAATGCTCTTTGTAGTTCTTTCAAATGACCACCAGCAAATTGGATTCCAGTCAAAGCTACAAAGAGCCTGAGGATATCGTTGGTACCCTCAAATATTCTAAAAATTCTTAAATCTCGCATTACTTTTTCTAATCCTGTAGCTTTCATATATCCCATACCACCAAGAATTTGTATGGCTTCGTCAGTTACATACCAGGCAGATTCAGAAGCAAAACACTAAACAAAATAAATAAATGTTTTATAATTTAATAGGAATTATATTTATCACAAGAAGTTACTTTAAGAATAAATGTACTGATATATGTTATTATTTTTTTAAACTTTATTTCACAAAAGCCTCAACTTTTACTGCACAAATATTGCTTATTAGTATATTTTTGTTAAAAACTAAAGCTCATAAAAAATTATCAATTTACATAAAACTTCATTTAAATTTGGCAAAAAAAAAAAAAAATAGCAAATCACATAGAAATTTATCTATTTCTCTCTTATAAAATTGAATAACTGAGACAATTGGTGTTGCTTTTTTATCAACAAATTAAATAACTACTTTATAATAATTAAAAGTACCAAAATATGAAAACTTAGAAACCATATTTTCTTTTTCTTCTTCTTCTTATTTTTTTATTGAGATTATTCTATTTACAACACTTTGACTTCATTATTAATTTTTACATTTTTTAAGAACATTTTTGAAAATGGCAATAACAATTTTAAGATTCTTTGGAAATAAAATCCAAAATGATGGGGTATAAGGATTCTTCACACGTTTCCTTATCTTATCTTATCTATTAATATTTTTATTGAATCAATATTCAATAAAAAAATTAACTTTTTATAAATTAATTTAAAATTTTTTTCTACGCACCAAATATTTGATCAAGATTATGAATAATTTGGCAATATCCAGAGAGATCAATTTATCATAAACCACTTAATCATTTACAATATAAATAGAATATTGAGAAAAAAATGTTTAGTTTTTTTTATGACCTATCACAATTAACTGGATTTTTGGCTTATATAGTAATGTGTATATACTAATATATTTTAATACATAACAACAGATTGTATATTATTAAAAAATGTTGTTTTTAATTACATATATTTCTTAATTCATCAGCCATTAATTTAAATCAATGTAACATCATTCCTTATAACTCATAGTTGTATTAATTTAATATTTTTAAATGACAATATACATATTCAAATAACTTATAAAATAGGAAATAATTTAACTATGATAATGATAAATCAACTGATAACAAATTTTGGACCAATACTTCAGAAGTTATTATTATTTTAAACTGTTATAGACTGGGAAGAGGGATATGACTATTTATATTATAAGATATTTCTTGGCCTCATTCCTTCTCAGGCCCACATAAAAATATTAATAACTTTCAAAATACTGGTCCAAAAGTTGTTATCGACCAGCCATTTTTTATTTTATAAGCTAGTTAAATATATATGTTGCCATTTAAAAAAATAAAGTTGACAACCCAGAGTTATAATAGATTTTGATACTAAAAAGCAGTGATGGGAGAGAAAGTGTTCATGTGAACATTCTCTTATGAACGTATTCATTTTATATAAAGTCTACATGAATATGTTCAAATTTTAGAAAATAAACTTAGTTCTTATTTTGAATGAACATAAATATTATTGGTTCTACTATTTGAGTTTATATCAAAATCAATACATGGAATTTAAAATCAATGTAGATTTTAACATAATAAAATCTGTATAAGATCGTGGTTAATATCATAGTCCTAGAAACAAAATTTTAAAATGATTGAATTTATGAGTACATTAAATTTTTACATTAGGAATTATGAATGTGAATTAAATTATTTTATATAAGCATATAAATTGAATGCAAAAATGCATTTGTTGAATAGTTATAAAAAATAGATTATTTTTAATTTTGATAAAAATTAAATATATATTTTTTCATCCTCCAAATAACATATAAAGTGGTTTAATTGTCAAACCCTATGTATTCTTTTTAATTTTTCCCTGTATTTTTGTATGCTAAATATGTACAGTTTTTTCAGAAATTTGGAGGAGATAAGTAAATCATCTGTTTTATTAATAGATTTAAGTAAATATTATCATAAATGCAATGGTTTTTTGATGAACTATTCAAACTGAGCATAAAAAAAAGTATAATTTTTTATAATAAAATGTTTTTTAATTTCTTGATTATTTTTATTTTGTTATTAATTTTAAAAGAAAAGTCCACTGTAATGAACTTGAATAAGTTCATATTTTATTTAGGAAAATTAAACTTGAACTACTCCACTTTTAAGAAATATATGTATCTAAAATAAAAACCAAACATTTTTTTAACAATATATTCATTTAGGTAGTAATTGAGTGGCTTATGATAAACAGAATATTATGTACAATAATATAAAGAATATTACCTTTGAAATTGCTGCCTCTAAATGATAATCGACTGAGCCTGTATCCATGTTTCCTGATATCATATAAGCCATACTTTCAGTAACATATTGAAGCATTGCCATACGAGCAAGTTTTTCTTGAATTCCTCCAAAACTGTCTAAACGTTTTCCGAATTGTACTCTAGTCGTTGCATGTTCAACAGCTTTAGCAGTCACAGATCTCATAGTCCCAGCTAGAGCAGCTGCCATTCCAAACCGTCCATTGTTCAAAATATTCATAGCAACTTTAAAACCTTGACCCACTCCACCTAACACATTTTCAATAGGAACTTTTACATCTTCATAATTAACTTCAGCAGTGTTTGATGCTTTGATTCCCATTTTTTTTTCTGGAGGACTATTAGTTACACCACCAAACGACCTTTCAACAATAAACGCAGTGACTTTATCTATTGTTTGGCCAGTTTTTTCATCTTTAACTGGAGTTTGAGCAAAAACAGTCATTATTTCTGCCATACCACCATTACTAATCCAAATCTTATTGCCATTTAGTATGTAATGTTTTCCATCAGGTGATAGAACAGCACGTGTTCTAAAATAAATTAAGCAAATTAATATTTTAAATATACTTTAGGTAGTAAATATCTGAATCAATCATTTGAGAAATCCCATAAGTCACTGATTTGGCTAAATTTATTATTATTATTATTGATGGAAACACTAGAGTATAAGTACTATAAACTTATTTTTCACCCAGAAAGTAATTTTTGTTTATTGTTTACTAGAGAAATAGTGAACACCTAAGAATTACAGTGTTTTTATATGAATATAAAGTTACATGTGCGTCTTTTGAAAATCCCAACGAATTTTCATAAATTTAACATAGTTTTAGTAAAATTATGTCATGCCTTGTAGGTCAAATGTTTTCATTCAAGTCCATTTTATAAGTATTTTTTAAGGTCTAACTGTGTACATAATGTTCACACTTAAAAATAAAATTTTTTTTTCAAATTTTAAAGTAAAATATTAAGTAACATAGTTATGGTTACATGGTCAATATGACAATAAAAAAAATGAATTTGGCTCACAAATCATAGCTCTCTCTACAAGCTTTATTCATTTTTAATTAATAAAATTAAATTCAACAAACCAAGATAACTTAAGGTTTTAAAAATATGCATGCTTACTTGATAGATCCAGCATCACTACCAGAAGAAGGTTCAGTTAGGCAAAATGCTGCAAACTCTTTGTTTGATACTCGTGGTAAATATTTAGTTTTTTGCTCTGGAGTACCGAATAACAATATGCCCTAAAATTATAAATTAAATAATTACTTAGAAAATAATTTAGTCATTTCAAAAGTATTTTTATTTCAATTTAATTTTATGAATAATATTAAAATAAATTATTATATAATTAATTCCCAATGAAATAACTCACTTTAAAACCAATTGATTGGTGAGCTCCTAAAACAATGCCCACAGCTAAATCATGAGCACCAACAATTTCTACCATTCTAGCATACTGTGTGTTAGTAAGTCCTAGTCCACCCAGATCTTGAGGAACTTGTAATGAGAAAGCTCCTAAATCCCAGAGTCCTTCTAATGTATTTGGTTCAACAGTTTCTATCTCATCATTTTTTAAAGGATTATTTACTTCCTACATTATTAAAATACATTAATAAACTATCTAAGTATAAATAATTTATTTAATTAATAATATACAAATTTAAATGAGCAAAAAATATTTACTTGGAAAAATTTTGTAACAGGATCAACTAAACTAGATAATGTTTCAGTTTGTTCATCATTTAATACATCTGGATATGGAAATACTTGTTCAGTTTGTAACTGACCACGAAATAAATTCATAGTAAATGATTTTGACTGTTTGACTTCTTTGGTATCCTTGGAGGATAAATGGGTCGTTGATGAAATCCATCTAAAAAATAATACACATTCTTCTAACAAATTTTATTATCGCAAATATTGTGCCTCAAAAATTTAGAAGGATTAGTGTTATTTTTAATGACCAACCAAAATAAAATAGAATACTTTACAAGACAAACAATTTTTATAGGTTAGAATACTTGGAAGACAATAAAATAATAAACGTAACTATATTTAAAAAAAGTAAAGACTGAGGTTAATCCAACTTTGTTAGAACTTGTTTTATCAAAGTAAAAGTGAATAAAATTTTTTAAAATGTTCAGCAGTAAAAATAAAAACTCATTAGCTATAATATAGCTGATGAGTATTTATATATTATATAAAGACTTATTTTACAAGAAAAAGTATTTAAATTATTTTAAGTAGTAAATTTATAAAAATTAATTTTTAGTATGATTTAGCATAAATTATAAAAAGTTTCTTTTTGCACCAAGGTTGAAAAATATGCTTTAGTTTTTGGCACTCTGTATAGTATATTACTCTTACTACAACACAATAAATAGGGTCTGTTTTGCATAATAATTTTAACTCGAGTTAGTTAATACTACTAAAATATTTTAATGAAATAGGAGATAAATCAACAAAAAGACACTTTTTCTTCATTAAAAAAAATCATACTCAACAAAATAATTTTATTTAAAAATATCATGTTATTGCACAACAAAGAATAACACATTTAGTTTATCATTACATAGTAAATTTTATACCTTCTTGATTTCTGAATTAATCTAAGTTCTTCGACTGCTTTAAAGTAACGATATTTAAATTTACTACAATTAACTTTAAACATGTTGATAATAACAACAGGTAAAATCTAAAGAAAATTACGTGATATTAGTAACCAGGAAATAAAAATATAATTATATATATATATAACAACTAGTATAAAAATAAGCAGAAATACAACTCACTCGTGTGAGGTTTACAAAACAACAACATTAGCCACTTTACTAATACATAAGTCTACATAATTTTTTGTAGCAGTAAGGGGGCCAAGGGCAACAGGCATCAGTTATCATCTGATAAATCGTAGATATCAAAAATAGCGTAATAAATAGTCATATATGGAAGAAGAATATGCTTTGATAATACAATAAACATATAGACTGAATGAAAATAGTCATATGATATAAATACTATTCTATGAATTTAGCAAGGAATATCAAACTAAATTTTATTTTATTTATCGTAGAAATAACAAAAAAATTATGTATCTGATGTATATTTATATAACTCTTGACATTTGTTAATCTTAAGTACAATATCATAAATTTTTATATGTTTTCACAATTAAAAATTGTTAATTTTAAATTATATGTTCATAATAAATTAATACAATTAATTAATTAGTTATTTTATTGGCTAATTAATTTACCGCTCGCTATAGATACAGAAAATAGAAATAATATATTCATTACATAATTGTCGCCAGCTTTAAAAAATTATATAGGTAAAAATGTAACAGCTGTTTTGATTAATTCTATTTTTCAAATTTTTTCATAAAACATGTTTCTATATTAGCTTTAAATCATTCCAAATTTGTAAGAAAATATTTATTATAAGTGTTAGATTACTACTTAATTAAGCATTATGTGTAATTAAATTACCCACTTGACAAACGAATTAGGTAAAATTTGTTGGGAAAAGTGCAAATTTCAATCATAAACAAAGAAAATATTTAATGACATACAGTGTGACCACAATGGTTGTATTACTTTATTCATTTAACAAAACCTTACAATAGAATATATATATATATATAAAATATTAAGTTATGACATCATAAAGAACAGCTGAGACTGATTCTTTTGAAACTATGTAATTACTGTGTTAGAGATAAAGTATATCGACTATAACATTAGAATTATTTCAAATTAATTTAATTTTAAGAGTTTTATTTGATTTCATTAATACTGTTACATACTAATTTTATATTTTAATGTACGATTGACATTACTTTATTCATGGTAAATACTAACATTTTTTTTAGTAATTCTTCAAAAATGATTGGAGTTATTAAACATTTTATACTTGATATTCTATTTTAGTATACATTTTTTTCTAGTTCTAGTTTTGGTGAAAGTATTTTTATTTTGAATTCATATTTTTTAAATAAATTCAATTATAAAATGTCATCCGGCTGCTGTGATAAAAACTCAAAAAAACAAAAACTCAATCATCATTATCAAGAATCACTAGATGTTAATGGTGGTAGTGGTAGCGCATCTACAGCTCCTATTGGAAATTCATTAATAAAAATCACTTCTCCGGAAATGGGTTTTTTTTGTTTTGACACACTTTACTCATATCTCAATAGTTTGGCACCACCTAAAAATCCTAATTTTACCAATGAACCATTGTAAGTTTTTTTTTTTTATTAAAATTTTACAGATTATAAACAAAATCAGTGGTGCAACTGGGGGTCCCTGTTTGAAGGCCCATGTATTATATGTATGAGTGAATGGGAGAATCCTCTCCATTACTCTATTTTCTAAAAGCTCTCTAGATCCCTATAAAAGATTTCTAATTGCGCTACTGAATTAAATTTAATCTACAAAAATAAAATTAATCTACTTTTTTCTATAATTTGTTTTTATTATTTTAATAGTTCAATTTTTAACTTTATTATATATTTTTTAATTTATTTTAGCCCTCTGTTTGTTACCTGGGAAATAGGCAAAGACAAAAAACTTAGAGGTTGTATAGGAACCTTTAATTCAATTTCTTTGCATAGTGGTCTACGTGAATATGCCATAACAAGGTATGTTTATATTGCTATTTATTGTTATATTGTTAATTTAAAAAAAAATTATTTAAAATAAGCATATCTATGTTTATTTATTTTTCAATTTTTATTATGATATATTTTGAAAAATAATAGATTAAAATTTATGGCCAATTTTTATACCATCATATCATATTAATTTTTATACAACTTAAGACTTATAATTGGATCTCATTGTCGAATAATTAATTTTTTCCTAGTTTGAAAATTACCATTCCAAAATTGTACCTAAAATATTAAAATCTATTTCTTTTATAAAAATATTTAATTTAGTCTTCAACAATTTTTAAGTCTAGCTATGTAATCTGTATATTATTATAATAATATAATTATGCATTATTGATTTTTATACATATTTACATAAGACTTATTATATTCTATTTTGGTTTAATATTAAGATTAAAATTTAAATAATAGATTATTTTTTTGATTAATAAGTTATATAATTGATGATATTGTTATGTTTTAGTGCAATTAAAGATTCACGATTTAGACCAATATCTAATGACGAATTAAATAAGTTACACGTAACAGTTTCAATATTAGTACACTTTGAAGATGGTAAAGATTACTGTGATTGGGAAATAGGCATTCATGGAATACGTATAGAGTTTTACAATGAGCGAGGAATGCGGCGCTCTGCTACATATTTACCTAAAGTTCCTGAAGAACAAGGTAAAGATTATTTTTTAAATTAAATTTGATTAAAAGTTTTTTCTCAAAACTAAATGGTGTTGTATTATTAGGATGGGATAAAATTCAAACCATTGATTCATTATTGCGTAAAGGAGGTTTCCGTGGTCCAGTAACAGCAGAAATTCGTCGTTCTCTTAAATTAACAAGATATCAAAGTGAAACAGTATCAGTCAGTTATCAAGATTACATGAACTATTTACAAACTGTGCAGTGCTAGCCACAAATAAAGGACCACTAAACATAGGGGTCCTATATTTTTTTTAATAACACTGCCACTTTTTTTGGTTACATGCATTTTGTCTATAAATAAATTGATAATTTAAGTAGTTTTTATAAACTAAACTTATACTGTGTACAAAAATCTTTCAAAAATAATAAATTTTTAAAAATCTAATTTTTTTTTTTTTAAAAATTTAAAACTAAAAAAAATCTAATCATTATGTAATTAGTTTAGCTATCATATTTTAAGAAATATAATTAAAATTAAAAAAAGAAATTATATGATTATATTAAATTTTGAGTGCTGATTTTTATTATAAAAAAATTATGTTGATATTAATGTAAACATTTAAGGTCCTGTTGATGAATATTGATCCATATTTTAGTTGTATAGGATAATTGTAAATTTAAGATTATTTTTAAGTTTCTTTTTTTACTTATATTATAAAAAAAAATTAGAAATTTACTTAAGTTCTTATTTTAATAAATTTTATTTTAATTAATATAAACACTAATTATGTTTAATTATTGTTAGTGTGAAAATAATCATAAGGTACCAAATTACAGTTTTAGATATAAAAAAAATGCTTAACATATTTTTTGTAACATTGTTCAACCATTGTGTGTTCAATTTATTTTCTAACTAATGGTTTTAAATTTCAAATTACATTATTTCATTTTGGCCTAAATATACATTTAATCTTTAAAATTGAATGTTGTGGCTCAAATTAAATGGGCCTTTAGGATTTATTTAAATATTTGTTTACAACTATAAAGAAGCTACTCTACAGCCATTTATTATTTCTTTATATTTCTAAGTAATACTATATTTTTACATGTTTTATTCTCATTATCCTTATAAATAATTTTTAATTACATTTTATTTTGATATTTGGCCATGTCTACATTTAACATAAAATAACATTATTTAATGCTAGAATATCCATAGTTCAAACTAATTGACATCATTTAGAATGTTTATGTTGGTTAGTTATAACAAATATACAGGTTGGTTAAATTTGATTGGCTAAATGGCAATTGTATTAAAATTTATAAGAGCTATCAATTAGATCTGTCCCACTCTATCTATATTACAAAAAATGTTGTTCAGAATTACTGAAATTTGTATTTATTTCAACATATTTTTTCTTAACTAGATTTTTTTAGTATTAAAATTACTGGAGAAATATTTTTTATTTAAAATTTAAATACAAACATAAGCAAAATGTTGTCAATTTAGTATAAATCTTTGCATGTATTGTAATAAATGTTTAAATAATTAAAAATAAGTACATAAACTGTTTAACATTTATAATTTTTCTAAAATATAATGATAAACTATACAATATATTATTTATTTTTTTATGATTTATCTAACCTTTGAGCATCTTCTATAGATTGTTCTAATAATTTAAGTCTCAAAAGTTCAAATGATTTCATTTGAAAATAACAAATTGTGTAGCTTAAAACAATATGACTAATCGAAAAAATTGCTAGGCGATTGTTAAATGGATGCGTAGTATTTCTTAAGTGAATAAAAAACTCTTGGAGTCTCTCAATTCTTCCAACTGATTTTAAATTAAATGTACCCATTTTAGATCCAAACTAAAAATAAGTATTGCAAAATACAATACAATATATTACTATGTGAATAAATTATTATAAATAATTAATTAATTAATGAAGAATTATATGCATTTAAAAAGATTACCATGTAAGTTCCTGCAATTGTAGCAATTAAAGGATAAATAACACCTGTACCTAATTGTATTGATATAGACCGAGAGGTAATACATGTTGGACATTCTTCTTGTAAAATAATAGATCTTGTAATAAACTAAAAATAAAAATTAATTTATTATATATTTATAAGATTTTATAGACTTTATATACTAGGTTGGGTTGGCTAAGGAAATGGATTCTCATTCAGTGGCAATCAAATGGGAGGAAAGTAGAGAAATAAATCCCCCACAATGACAATCACTATTTGATGTTTTTGTACAATTTTTATTATATATATTTTATATTGTGGACATTTTATAAATGATAATTCAATCAAAAAGATGTTGAGCATAATTAATATAAAAATTGTAATAATAATTAATCTTACAAATTTAGAAGATTAAGTTTTAGTTATTATTTATAGGTAGGTAAATACAATGAGGTATTTTAAAATATATTAAAAATTTGGAATAGGCTTAATAAGAAGTAATAAGAAGAAAGACATTTATTTATATGTAATAGTCCTTAATAACATTTTAACGTAGTAATACAAACAAAAAAGCTTTGGGTTATTTCAACATATACCAAGGCAAAATCACTTGACTGCCAATGTTCTCATACAAATAGACAGGGGTGTTACAAGTTATAATTATATTAGTTAGTTATGATAGTTGACTAAATTAAGCTCAGTCCCATTATTTTTATAAGTTTGATAACTAGTAAAAAATTTTAAGATAGGTGGGTTTGAACTCTTAAACCCACTTTGTAACTACGTTTCTATATGTGGGAATCTCTTAAAAATTTAGTAACAAACTATTAAGGTTATTAAATAACTTCTATTTAAGCTTATTTTATACATGCAAGTTTTAACATATTGTCTTTTTTAGCCGTGTAACAAAAAAACAATAGAAACAACAACAATCAAAACAACAACAATCAAAACATTTAAAATGAGTAAAATAACAATATAACAAAAATCCACTATTCATTGACAGTAAAACACTTAAAATTTTATTTAAAATATTTATCTGAAAAAGTTTTAAGGGGTATTTATTTCATATTCTAATATCTATAGCCAAAGTTATTTATGGACACCCAGCATAAAAATGTACATGTATAACATTTAAGTTATTATTATGAAATACATACTGTATTCTGTAAAACTTGATCAATAATAGAAGGTAGGAAAACAACTGGGATAAATAATGTGAACCGACCATAATTTCTGAGTTTCAATTTTTTGCGGTAAAAGTTTAAAATTACAACGTTTGAAATTACAACAGCGGAAGATAAAATTGGGTTTCCATATTTTAATGCCCATCTAAAATAAAAAAGTAAATTATGTCAACAAATATTTTAAAATATATATAATTCAATAAAAAAATTAACATTTCTGATAATTTGGGCCATTTTTCTATTATATTTTTCATGTAATTAATAACTTCATTATGTGAAAGACGAATTGCATCAGGTGGTATATCTTCAGATCGTCCTTTTTCAATATACATTGCTAAAAGAAATAAAAATAAAAATTACTTAAATTGTATTACATATAATAACGAAGATAATTTAAAATATGATTCTTACACCCATATGAACTTAATTTATAATTAAGTCTAATCTAATATTTAGATTATATCTAGTAAATTAGATTTATCTAATTTATCTATCTACATTAAGATTTTTTAGCATATGTTGGAAAAATAATTACAAATGCCTTTCAAAGGCATTATGATAATGCCTTTGAAACCTTAACTGAACTTATAATTTGACTTAAAAAAGTTTAAAAATTAAAAGGAAAATATGCCTGTTAATTTCAATTTTTAAACTTTATAAGGTCAAATTTTGATTAAGGTTTTAAAAGCAATTTCATAATACTTTTGGTTTTTACAGTTATTAACCCTAAAAATTCTTGAATAAAATCGTATAACATTTTTTTAGTTATTGGTTCGGATTTTAACTCCCAGTTTTTTTTTTTTTTATAAAAGATCTTCTTTAAGAACTTGTAAAGAGTTATTGTTTTGTATGGAGAATATTTTCTATGTTACTATATGAATGTGATAAGGTATAGCGAGTTAAAAAGTTTCAATTTTAATATATCATTGAAGTAAATAAATTATAGAATCGTTTTCAGAAAATTATGCTATTATAACTTTTTGAGTAATACAAAAACTATTAATTTGAATAAGGAATTAATTCGTATTTAAATTTCAGAACAAATATAGTAAGTATAAATAATACTGGTTTAGATCGTTCAGTTTGTCTGAATCATGAGACATCTCAGAATTATACTAAAACTATAAAATTTTCCAATTAAAATATATCAAGATTATACCTGATATCAACTTATAGAACTTAATTTAAGTTAATAATTAAGTACTAAAAAATCTAAAAAGTAAAAAACAGATTTTATGAATATCTAACATGAATCTACAAATACAATTTTTCATCCAAAGTAAATTTTAACGATAAACGATGAACCTTATCTTTTTCCGCTTTGTATTTTATCATTCATAAATTATAGTTGCCGATTCTATGACTTACACGTTAAAACAACATTCGGTCTGATAACGCGTGTAAAATAGGCGAAGAATATTTCAAAGATGGTTATCATACCTAAATGGGTTTTCTCTATTTGGCTTCTTCGTAGCTTGATCGTCTCTATCACTCTTATGGAAAAATGTGCTATCACTCTTAATCCGACTTTTACGATCACACCTACCAGTCCTCAAGGAAAATGTTTCGTCTAGATGTATATGTTTAGGAGTCTATATATATTCACTGAATTCTCTATATTCCGTTTCCAAAACTTATCTACAAACAATTATCTCATATCTAAGTTCATGCTTCTATAACTTATATTGACATTATGTAAAATTTATTTTTAAGTTTGTTATTTTAAGCTTCCACCATTTTTAAATATATAAAGTCGCATTATCGCAACAAAAGTTGTGCCAATTCGTCTCAAGTACTGTACTTTTCTCCTTCTTAGGTAGTTTTTGAGCATTTTGTTCAATTCGTCAATACATATATATGTACGTGTATGCATTTGCAGCATTTACTAAATAACGGAAGTGTTAACATGACCCATAAACATTTTACAGCTGATTCCATTGATTTTTCTGTGTCATATCCCGTTTAATATTAAAATTACTCCAATTGTATTTTATTCGTTGAATAAATATATATTACTTAATCATTTTTATCAATTGCTTTGATTTTTTTAAGTTAAAGGTGAGAATAAGAAATGCCTGTTTGTAAACAAGATGGTAAGTTGATTTTACCTATCTCAATTTAAATAGGTGCAGACATTCATAAATTTTTTAGAAGAATTTAGTCATTTGAAATAGTTATATTTCGATTGATAGATTATTAATAAAAATCTGAGTATAAAATTAACAAAATAAACTTTAATTCATGTATAACATATTTTTGAATCAAAAATATTTTATAGAAACACTGAGAGCACTTGCTCTTCTTGAAGATTATCAAGCAAAGTTATCTAGTGTTCCCAATAGTGATCTTCAAGTAGTTATGCAGCTAGTAATTGGGACTTTTAAATCACGATTGTTCCAAGCTCTAATTGGTAATTTTATTATATTGTTTAATAACTGAAATGTGTTAAATAAAACTACTACTTTTGTAAAAAGTTTAAGATATTTTAGACTGCTCATTAGATTTTTAAGATTTTTAATTGTGATTTCAAAATAAAATTGTAAATGCATTTGTTTATTGATATTTTGATATTAGATATTCAAGAGTTTTATGAATTAGCTCTTCAAGATGAAACTAATTCGGTAACTGATGAAGAATTGTCAATAGCCCAAAAATTCATTATGGACCAATTAGATAATAAAATGAAAATGGTAACATAGTTTCTAATTATTACAAATATTTTAATAGCAAATAAAAGTAGATATATATTCTTTAATTCTTTAATAATTCAAATCTAATTTTTCTATAAAATGGTCAAATTTTTTTTATTAATAAAATGATTTTTCTTTGTGATTGTATTTCATTAATATATAAATAATGTTAGTAAATTTTTATACAAATATATATATTTCTTTTGTACTAGAATGATATTGATTTGGAACCTTTAGAAACAGAATGTCAGCAAGACTACAAAAAAAAACAGCTAGTAGACATTAGTTGCCAGGTATGATTAATATTATTATTGTAGAATTGATCAAAAGATTTTGATAAATGATGTAAACTTAGTCATTCAAAATATAACTGTACTAAAATTTTGATTGCATTAACTTTAACCAAATCCCCTGTCAGAATTTACTGACTTGTTTTTTTTGTATTGTCCTTTTAAGATTTATTAGATTTGTTTTATGAAATTTTATTCTATCTTTATTATGCTTAATTATAAAGTTTTATTAACCTCTAGATTAATAGATCAATTGAACATAATGGCAACCATTCTTTTGGGGATGCAACTGAACAAGAATCTAATCTTGAAACAGTAAGTAAACTAATTTTAATCAGTGTTTTGTAAATGTGGTATGTTTTGTTAGTTTTCCACTTATTTTTATTTAAAGGAAAAATATCTAACTTAATTTTTTTGTTTATTTTATTTTATTTCCCTTGGAAATGCAGTGTAAATGAGGTAGTTCCACTGAAAATTGCATTTTTTTCTATTTGTATAATTTATCATTATTTAGTAATTTATAAGTATGAGAATATTTGAGAAAGTGAATATGTGTTTTTGTATCTTCAATTTTTATTAGGGTTGGTTTAAAGGTCTTCTTATATCCTCTTATATCATAGTCTTATAATTGGCAGACATTAGTGTTTATGTACTCAATGTGAATAAGTATTATTTAAATGTATTTGCTACTTCTTAATATTCTTAACTATGTTATTCTCTTATTTTTTTCTTATTCAAGTCTGTGTTATTTTAATATTATAGCTGTTAATAATATCACTATACTTATGTTCGTATTTTTATATACGAGCATAAGTATACTGAGTGAAACAAATCTAAATGGCAAATATTATAACCTTTAATACAATCATCATTTCGCTTTAATATTTTTAAAAGTATTTGTTTTATTCTTAGACTGTTACAAGCATATTTTTTATTATTTATTTTTAATAATAAAAGAAAAATAAATAAACTTTAACTTTTCTAATTAGTTAAAATAGTCGTATTTTAACATTTTTCTTGTAAAACATTTTAATGGATCAACAACAATTTTAAGACCAGTACTTATTAAGTTACAAGCATATTAATACATACAGTTAGTATACAACGTGAGTGGAGTATGTGTTATAAATATATACCAATACAAGCTATTACCCATTTTATGTATTAAAATGCTTTTAATTCAACAATTACTTGTCCTAAAATTATTATTGATCCATTAACATTTTTGTTAGAATAGCTCTAAACCTATAGAGACAATTTGAGGGAGCTAAATTCCCTCATTGTCTGTCATAGCCCTCTCAAAAATATATGTTAATATGAAAATAACATATATTTTTATGTAGAAATATCTTTGAGGTAGGGATAAATTTAATTAAACCTCCTAAATATTTTGCTTTAATTTTGCCTATGTGTTAAAGTATGGTTTTTTTTTTTTTTTTTTTTTTAAAAATTTAAAAACAAATTATTTTTATTTATTTTATTATTAATAACGACTATTAAAAAATATGCCCTAAATGTAGTTTAAAAATGCAAAAATCATTTAAAAAAATTACAGCGAAATGAAAGTTGTATCAAAAGTTATAAGAGTCGTCAGTGGAATCTGTCCCACTCAGTAAATGTACAAAAATACACATATATCAGTATTATATATATTTTTTAAAATTATGTTACAAGGATGATGAAATGGAAAATTGGGAATATGATACAATTATTGTTGAACGTCGTTCTGGTGGTTTAGGTTTTAGTATTGCGGGTGGTGTAGATTCAGAATCACTGGTTCTGGTAACTAGAGTTAGCCCAGATATCGGTGCGACTGGCCTTCGTGCTAATGATATAATTCTAAAAGTTAATGATATTTCACTTGAAAATGTACCACATAATTATGCTGTGACAGCCTTAAAAAATGCTGGTGATGTTGTTACACTTGTAAGTACTTTTGTAATTTATTTTTAAAAATAAATTTCTTTAAGTACTTTTTTTTCATTTTAGTACTTAAAAAGACGTAAAAAGGAATCTTATGATGAATCTGATAACTCGTATTCAATAAAAGAAATTGGTCTGAAAAAGATAGATGGTGGATTAGGGTTTACAATAGCTGGTGGTGTAGGAAATGTTCATTTACCTGGAGATAATGGTGTATATGTTACAAAAATTTTAGAAGGTGGGTCTGCTCATAATGATGGACGCTTGCAAGTTGGTGATAAATTAATTGCTGTTAAAAATACTTTGGTATGTCTTGGGATATTATGCAATGAATAAAGTAATTAAATAAACATATTTTCATTTATAGAAGGGAAATATTAATTTAGAAAATGTAACTCATGAAGAAGCAGTTGCAGCTCTTAAAGATACTGGTGAATTAGTGACATTAGTAATTAGTAAGAAAAATTTTTGTTGTTATTTTGTAAATAATAATTATTAATATCACCATTCTATAAAAATACTGTTAAAATAAAAAAGGTATGATTTAAATTTTTTAAACCTAGGAGTTTTAAATTTCTAAATGTTCATAAATAAAGTTAATAATAAAAATATAATTATTTTATGTATAATAAAATTTAATCTATGGTTAACTATATTTGTTATATTATTAATACTTTGACTATTTCAGTTAAAAACTCACTTGATCTTCACTATAAAAAAGCAAAATCTAAAATAGATTTATCTTTAAAATCTAGCCATGAAAATATCTCAGTATTGTGAGTAAAAAAACTATTATAATTTTAATTCTGCATATTTTGTATATATTTAATTTTTAGACATGAAAAAATAGCAACCATTCGTAGATCTGAAGAAGGGTTAGGATTTAACATTGTTGGAGGTGAAGACAAAGAAGGAATTTTTATATCATATATAGCTCCAGGCAGTCCAGCAGATCAAAATGGTATTTTAGAACCGGGTGATCGTATATTAAGTGTTAATGCTATTGATATGGTAAATGCTACTCATGATGAAGCAGCTATTGCACTAAAAGTAAAAATTCACTGTATAAATTAAACAATAATAATTAATTTATAACAATTTTATGTTAAACATTTTTTAACTATTATTTATAAAACAGGGTGATGGACCTATAGTAACTATTGTTGCACAACCACGACCAGAAGAATATCATTTGCTTCAAATAAAATTGGCAGTATTAAAAGAACAAATGATGAAGAAAGCCCTTGTAACCTCTAATACCTTACCTAGACCATCTAAAAAACAACAATTTATTGTCAGGTACATCTTGAAAATATTAATATAATTACATACTTAAATTATCATATTAATAATTATGTCTAAAATAACTATCCTTCTTTTATGTGATAAATTAATTGGTTCAATTGTTGTAGATAATCGGAATTGACCACTAGGATACTCTTTAATTTATTTTGTTGTAACTTGACTTTTAAAAACATCATACATATAACCCATTTAAGTGATACACTAACTTTTCCTTTTTAAATCCAGTGTAAACAATATTATTATTCAATCCCATTTCAATTCAGCTTATTTTTAATTAAAAAAAACTTATATTACATTTTAAAATTACTGAAATGGTTTTTAAATGATTATTAATATGTTTTCATTAAATTAAGTTTTAAGTATAATGTGCTTTTTAAAGATAAATTTTTGTAGATATATCTATATATTTTATATATTTTATCTATATAAAATCAAAGAAAGATTAAATTTTTAAAATAGCATGTAATTTATACAGTAATACACTTGCTTTTATTTAAAAAATTGGTTTTCTTAATAACACTGGATTGGGGATTAGAGTAAACTTTGAGAATGCATCTCCCGTGTATGAGCAAAAGGTTTTTTTTTAAGTTTATTTTCTATTATTTATATTATCTATTTGTATGTGTAATGTTATTTACAAAAAAGTTCATCCTCTTATGCATAAATTATACACAAAAATTCATGTATTGACATTGTGATCAATTTTTGGATTGAGAGATAAAAAAAAGATAATGTGATTGTGATATAGTACAAAATACAATTTTAATATTACAAGTAGTAGTTTGAAAAAAAAATTGCAGTGTTTATAGTGTCTTTATGGAGTTAGAATCTCTATGTCAGGTAGCCTGTTATTTATTATTTTTTAATTGATGTGTGTTCTAAATTATGGAATATTTTTTTAATCATTCTTCGTTAGAAATATAACTATAGAACAATTTTCATTATTTTACCTATTATAAATAATATCAACTAAAAAATTATAAGCCTATTTCATACTTAACATAAGCAGGGATGTATTTAAAAATTCATAATTAGAGGACACAAAAAAGTTGTTCAGTTATAAAGCTACATTGGATGTTCATAAACCAATCTAAATATGCTACTATACATAGATTATAAAGATGGAAAGTTTACACATTAGGGGGTTATATACAGTACCCACAGAGTCATATTTGGGATAATATTGAAGAATAATTTAATAAATTACATTTTTAGAGCACTATATGATTATGACCCAAACCGTGATGATGGCTTGCCAGGACGAGGAATATCTTTTACTTATGGAAGTGTTTTAAATGTTATTAATGCTAATGATGATGAATGGTGGCAAGCTAAAAAATTGTTGCCTTTTGGTGAGGAAGATCTTATTGGCATCATACCATCTAAGAAGCGTTGGGAACGTAAACAAAAATTAAGAGATCGTACTGTTAAATTTCAAGGTCACGTTCCAGTTCTAATTGACAAAGTATGCAATAAAAAAAAAAATTAGAAACTATTTATTCGACTTAATATTATTTTAGACCACTACATTAGAAAAAAAAAAGAAAAATTTTACTCTAAGTCGTATGTTTCCATTCATGCGGAGTAAAGTAGACCGTTTAGAGTGTACTGGTTCAGATCAAGACCGTAAGTTTCATGTTTATGTTTAATTGAGCTGTCATATATGAGCATAATTTTAATTTTCAAGGATTAAAATTAAAATGATATTTATAATATATTAAAAGTATTTATTTCATTACCAGATTAAATCAGAGATTGAAAATGAAGGATTCAGTGCATTAACTGATAAAACCTACATTTGATCAAACTTGATTTTCTGATTGAAAATCTTTTTTTAAATAATTTTTTTATTGTATTTTATGATACTTAATGTTTTTTTTATAGATTATATGCTCTGTTACACCCATGAAGATCCTACATCTGATGGTATTAATTTAAGCAGCATAAGTGTTATTGAATTACTTGTTGGTAAGATACTTTATAATTCCAAATTATGCATTTATGTGTGTAATGTTATTCATAAGATAAGGATTTTATTTTAAAACGAGCCATCAAAATAATCAGGGTAGTTAAAAATAATAATTTATACATTTTCATTTTAAAAATTTTCTGATTAATGTTCTTGAAACCTACATTATTAATTTATATAATAATGGTTATAGCATTTATTTTGTCATTATTATTATTAAAAAAATCTGAACTTTATAATATTATACATTATAGCCACAATAATATTGTGTTATTTCCAAATAATTTCTGTAAATTAGGAGTGGTAATTTCTTTTTTGTTTGACTGAAAATTTAAATAAAAAATAGTATAGTTAAATTTTATTTTAAAAAATCAATCTTTTATAACTTAAATTTTTATCTTTAAACTTTTAAATAAAAAATATTTACTGCTAAATTAATAAATATTTATAAATTGAAACACTTATTTTTTATATTTTAGAAGAACCATCCTTACCTTATGAATCTGTTGTAAAGAAATCTATTACCTACAGTCGTCCTGTTATTATCGTTGGAATATATAAGGATAGAATAAATGATAATCTGATATCAGAATATCCAGATGAGTTCGGATCATGTGTACCTCGTAAGATTTAGCCTATTATATTTATTTAATTTTAAAAATATAATGTTAATATATTCATTTGTTTTGTAGATACTTCAAGAGAAATTAGACCTGGAGAAGTTGATGGTGTGCATTATCATTTTATTAAATCAAGAGAACAAATGGAACGTGATATTAAAAATCATTTATTTATCGAAGCTGGTCAATTTAATGATAATTTATATGGAACATCTCTTGCTTCAGTTCAAGAAGTGGCTGAACAAGTAAAACTAAAATTATTAAACATTTATTTTATTTATTTCATGTAACAAAAAAAAAAAAATAGGATTTATAATTACTCTGATTTCATACTATTAGATCTAAATGCATTTTGTGTGTATGTTCCTTACAACTTCTAGATCTGTTCTATATGTTGCCAATGAATATCAAGTAAATATTCTAATTACTCGCAAAAGCTATTGATCACACTGTAATAATTTATAACACTATAACAATCCTTTTAATTATTTTACATCCTAAAATAGTACAAACATAATCTCTAATTTTGTAAGAGAGGTGACCCTTGATCTAGTGAAATAATATTATACTAAAAGTGTCTGATCCATCATTATGGAAAAGTTATGTTGAGAAACATCACAAACACTTGTATGCTTTGTTGTTATACTGATAAATAATGGAATATTCAATTAAATTAACTTTTTTTTAAAATAAATTCTATTCATAAAAGGGCTCATTTTTCCATAAATTGTTTTTAAACATAAACATAAAATGTTTTAGATTGTTATAATTAAAAATATCAAAACTCGAGCTATTTCCCATGATTGTTGGAATATATTAATGGTTATTTTGTATTATAGGGAAAACATTGCATCCTTGATGTGAGTTCTAATGCAATAAAAAGATTACAAACTGCAAATCTGCATCCTATCACTATTTTTATTAAAGCACCATCATTGGATTTCATAATGTAATTATATTAAACAAATGTATCTATTTATATATTAAGCTTATGAGTCATAGTATGAAGATTTGGGAAAAGATAATAGATAAGAGAATAAGAAATAAGACATCAGTATCTAAAAACCAGTTTGGATTTATACCTGGTAAGTCAACTAGTTGTGTGAGACAACTTATAGAAAAGCATAGAGAAAAGAAGGAAAAGCTGTGTATGGTATTAATAGATTTGGAGAAAGTGTGTGATAAAGTATCGAGAGAGGTCTTAAAGTGGCATTAATGAGAAAAAGAGTCCTGAAAAGATACATTAATATAATAGAGGATATGTATGATGGCACTTGTACCAAGGTAAAAAGTGTGGAAAGAGTAACAGATGGTTTTAGGGTAAGAGTAGAAGTGCACTAAGGTTCTGTTTTAAGCCCTCTTATTTAGTGATGAATGAAATTACTAAAGAAATACAAGAGATTAAGAGTAAATAGGAGTAAAATATAGTATATAGAGTATGAGTTTGACAACATCTAACATGAGTTAGATGGATGAGTGGGTGACTCGAGAAGATAGAATAAGGAACAAACATAAGATTAAGTATAGTTTATAGTTGTAGCGTCAATCGTCGAAAGATGAGAGAAAATAGACTTTGTTAGATATATATATATATATATATAATATGTAATAGATATAATAGATTGTGTAGTCATGTTATGAGGAGAGAAAAATTGAAAGCTGTAAGAACAGTTATAGAAATTAATGTTAAAGGAAGTCAAAAAAAGGAATGGAGGGATGTTTTTGAATGTGATATAAGGACGGCTAATGTGTGCATAGATGATGTGGGAGGTCGTGTTAAGTGAAAGTTAAGGATAAAAGTGGCTGACCCCAAGTAGTTGTGATTAAGGCGAGGAAAATGAAGAAAGAAAAAATTTATTTATTTGTACAACATACAATTAAACTAAACTTAAAAAGTAAATTTAAATCAGAAATTGATTTAATATATATATTTATTAATTGTATTAATTATTAGGAGAATTAGTGATAAAATGACAGAAGAACGAGCAAAAAAAATTTATGATCAAGAAATAAAAGTTGAGCAAGATTACAGTGAATACTTAACAGGTAAAAATTTTAACAAAGATATTAACTTGTGAAAAAGTAGTTTTCAATCTTAATTTAAAAAATAATAAGTAAAAATAATCTAGACTCATTTTTATGTCACAAAGGAAGATTTAACATAGATAAGTGAAGTAACTTTTTTAATTTTAAGACAATTACTACTGAATTGTTGAAAAAATTTAATGTCTTTAGAGAAGTAGAGAACATGTAGATGAGTCAAAAAAGTGACTAAAGTGGTTCAAAGGTAATGTGTTTTCAAGGATTTTATACTACAGAAATTAGCTAAAATATGTTTTATTTTTATCGCTTGGACAACATATATATATATATATATATATATATATATATGTAGTATTTTTCTTTCCTCTTACATCCATTTGGAATAAAATATAGAAATTTTAAGTAATTTATGGCCAGCTATATTTTTTCAATGTGTTAAGCAGGAACATGTAGAAAATGTAGCTAACACATTGAAGCCCAATTTTAACAATTTAAATTTTTGTTTATTTGTTGGTATAAATTTGGTTCTTTTTGGTTTATAGAGTTTAAATTTTTATAATGTGTTTCAGAATACTAAAAGTTGAAATTCACACATTGGAATTTCACTTATTAAGATGAGAGAAAAAGAGGGTTAAGTAAAAGATTGGAAACCAACAACCTTGAAACACTGTTATATATTTTATCAAAATTACAAATAATGATTTAAAGTTATTTACATGTGTTATATTTAAAGAAGATTCTTAACAATAATATGAGACCATGATCATTAAAATTCATAAGTTATTTCAACATTTGTTAAAGTACCTATTTCCGATTTGGAAAAATAATACCAGATATAGATATGTTTATAAATTGATAATATATTTCTATTATTTTTTTTTTTTTTTTTCATGAGGATTTAAGTAAAATTTGTTTGAATAGCTTAAAACAATAAGCAAAAAATAATAATTAAGGCAAATAACCCTTAAGTTAGTTTTGTACATACAAGGAGGGTTTTGTGTTTCAACCCCCCTGAGCCAAACATTTTTTTAATGTTCATTATATTATTCTATGATTGATCTCTCTTTAAAGTTAAGTATTCAAATATGATAATTTAAAATTAAATATTATTTTATAATAACTTTTAATTACTAAGTGTTTTAAAATGTTTTCAAAATTTATATGTAGTTTTGAAATTACAGAAAAAGATTTTAATAATAGTAATTTTATAGTAAAATTCCAGGATGTGTTTTGCGTGAATAAAATGTTTTTTTTAACCATCATCAATTTCGAATTTACACCATTAATTAAAATAACCATCTTAGAAGTTTCTCTTTAAAAAAATTTGATAAGTTAGAATATGTATTCTAAAAAGTATAGAAATTTTAATATTATAAGTAATGATATATAACAGTAGGAATACTATCATTAATATATTATGATATTTCACTTTTTTGTTAATGAAAAAGGTTTTTCTGAAATGTGTTTTGATAATTTTTACTTTAAAATTCTCTTGATTTTTTTTTTACTAATGAAACTATTAATATAAACTTTAATTAAAGCATGAGAAAATATTGATTTTACTCTGCCACATTTTATTTTATTTTATTTTATTGTTTCTTATTGAATTTGCATATATGATAAGTTATTTTTATTTTTCAGCAATTGTGAAGGGTGATTCATTTGAAGACTTATTTAAAAAAGTAAAAGAAGTTATTGATATGCATGCTGGCCCAGAAGTGTGGTTACCAAATAAAGATCATATAATTTAATGATATTTTTTTTTTAATAAAGTACCCATCTTTGTATTTTTAAATATTTAGAAACTATTCTTTTTATGAGTTATAAGTAATTTTTAAAAATAATAATTTAACAAACAGAGTGGTTCAGAATATTTATAAAAGTCATACAATTTATTATCTAAGTGATATCTTCAAATACTTTTTTTTTCTTATAATTATTATACCTTTGGACTGTAATAAAATCATAATTTATAATAATATTTTTACTTTAAAGAAAAAATAATAAGAGATCTTATAATTACATAGATAACCTTACTATTATTTTTTTAATTTTAATTATAAGCAATAATTCAAGGAATAATAATTTTTAATGAAAAAATTCAATTCTTATAACTAATATTTAACAGGAAAATATTGCATTATCTTTTATACATAGACCAACAAATGATCTATAAATTAACACATAAAAGTTTAAATTCTTATTAATTTTAAAACACCTTTGAAATTTAACAACTTTACATTAACATATATTTTATAATATATCTTTTATAAACATTTTTTTTTTAATTTGCTCAAAAAAATTACTACTTAAATTTGTTTAGATTTTTCAAAATTAAAAAAAAAAAAAAAATTTAATAAAAAATATTATTAATTATGATTCAAAAGTATAACAAATATTTAAAAAAAGTATTTCATTGTTTTAACTAGATCAAAAGATGTAGAATTTTTAGAACATGCTAGATTACCTTGTATTGTTTCATTTTAATTTTAAATATATCTCAATATATTCAAATAATATTCAAAGTTTACATAAATAGAAAAAAAATTGTTTCCAGGTTACTTAATTACTATCAAAAAGCAATGTTTAATTCAATTTGCTTTCACTTTAAGTATAAGAAATATATAAAAAAAAATTTAAATTTAAATTAATCTTTATTATACTGATCTGAGGTGTTTATGTTAGAAATTTGAAATAAAGTATGTTGTTTAGTTGTTAGTGATTATAATTAATTCAATTTTACATTATTATATATATATTTATGTATAATATATATATATATATTAAAAATGTTCATAAAATTAATACTATTCATATTATAAACACTTATGCTTTAACTTATATTCTAGTCATTGTTAAATACTATTTAAATTTTATAAGTTTGTTTATTAACAAGTTATTATTTATAAATTTTATTTTTAATAAATTTTACTACTTTTAGGCATTTTATTATGTCTTTTACTTATTTTACTAATTTTAATGTGTTACTAAAATTAATCAACTGTAAATTTTGTAACTTGACAAATATACTTCCTACCAATTAAAATGTGTTTAAACATTTTTTTTTGTTATTTATCATTTTCATTCTTTTTTTTTTTAATAGGAGCCATGGCAGCAAAGGCTGCCCGTGTTTACATGTATATTTAGAATATATAAAAAAAAATGAGCTATTTAAATATTTAGATTTTGTTTACAATGAAAGTTATTAACAGTTAGTCTCTATCACATAGGTTATATCGATGTTATTTGAAATCAAATAGTTTGGTAGCCTTGAGGAATTTTGTCATCTTATTTGTCGTACAGAATTATGGTTTGTTTCAGAGATTAGGCAAGGTGGTGAGGTATTCCATGTACCTCTCTTTGATGTTCATACTTTTGGCATTTTGTCTGAATATGTTTGATGGAGTTAATGATTACAGTAATTTCACATGTTGGTGAAAAATTAATTTAATTTTCTTATCTTATCTTAGAAAAGTTGTGAATAAATTACCAGTTTAAAAGTTTAATTTATTTAATTTTAATGTCCACTTAGTACATTCAAAATACAATTTATATGTATTACTCTGATACTTCAAAGGTACTGCAATTGTAAACTGTTGGTATAAATAATACAGGAATGCTTTATTAGATTGATGAATAAATTATTTACTCGTCAATTAAACATACTACTCCATGGAAACAATAGAACCTATCTTCTGTTTTTTCTCTAACTTTACATTCAGACAATAGTTTACCTAAAACTTTTCAGGAAGGGAATTTAATAACCAACCTTGCACAAGAGAATAAATATATTTCCTTTCCATAAATTCTAAATGACGTAATTCTTTGAGTTTCTAATGGGATTGTACCAAAATAGGCTCTACTATAATTACATCTTTGTTAACCAATAAATTAGGAATTATTGAAAAAGGTTATAATGCAAACCTAAATCTAGTAGCTGTGAATAAGCACTTTGAAAAATTGTGTACTATAATTTTCATTATTGCACAGCAAAAATATTAAAGTGAACCATTCCTTTTCATTGATAATTTTTTTTTATTTCGCCTTAAATTAAATTCATGAAATGGACTCTTTCATATTCAAAACGATAAATTACCAATTGAGAAATAAGACTAGCGTGTGTTACACTTTTTTCTATGAATATAACAAATCTGTGATTACAATCAATGTTTATCAAAATTTCTTTGATAACATATTTTATCTATCAGAATAATTTCTATATAATAATTTATAAATAAAAATTAATTATTACAAATTTTGATCTGAGCCAGGTTTGATTTTTTTATTTTGTTAAATTTATATCAACACTTAGTACAATGTGTTGGTATTCTAGTTAATCAAAATTAGTTACAAATAAAATAATCAATTTAATTTTAATTTTTAGCTTAACGTGTTTGTATCATGGCTGAACAAAATAAATCAAAATCTTCGTATTTTGGTAAGAAGAACTATTCAAAAGATAGATTTAAACTTCAGCCTAATATGAAAGGTTTTTTATGCACATGCAATTTCAATGAAAAAGATTGTCAAAAAGAGGCCATTAATTTGTTAAGAGAGTACAGTGAAGAAAAAGAGGTAATGTGATCATATAAAATTAGTATTAAATAATAATAATAAAAACAATATTTATGTGAGATAATGTATATTTTTTAAATAAAACATAAATATTTATTTGGTTTTTAAGTCAATCATAATAAAAACTTCTTATACATGTATCGATTAATTATACACTTGTATTTGGTTGTAAAATAACTGTTCTATTTCTTATCACCTTATTATCATTCCTTTACATTTAAACACTATCTAACAGTTGCCTTAACTTAACAACTCTATCTCACACATGAATCATGTGTTAAAATTAAATTAAATTTATTTGAACTACAAAGTTTTTATTTTATTTATTTAACCTATCAATATATTTATTTAAGTTTGTAGTAATTTTGATTTCACTCTGATTGTAAATTACATTTTTTTTTACTCTTAAATTAAAACAAGAAGTTTGTTGTGTTTTGATATCTTATTTATTTATGTTATACTTATTCATGTTGATGAAATTTACATGATTTTCTTATTTTTTAATTGCAATGACTAATAAATCTATTTTTGTTACTGTTGGTACAACTAAATTTGATGAATTGATCACGGCTATTATCAATCCTCTTACACTACAAATTCTTAAAAAAAAAGGATTTTCTACAATAACAATGCAAATCGGAAATAGTAAAATAATACCCCATTCTTCAGGATTAATTGACATTCAATATTATACTTACAAGCCTGATATAGAACATGACATGAGTAATCATGATCTTATTATTAGTCATGGAGGAGCAGGTTCAATTATGCAAGCTCTTGACCATAATAAAGCTTTGTTAGTTGTTATTAATGAAAACCTAATGGATAATCATCAATATGAATTAGCTGAGAAATTATTTGAAGACAAACGATTATTTTTTACTACTTGTAATAATTTATGCAGTTTCATTGAGAATATTGATTTCAGCTCAATAAATTCGTCTTCAATTGATAACTCTTCTAAAATTAGTAAATACATTGAACACTTTCTAAATGTATAGTTATATACATAGTTAGCTAATAGTTTTTCTTATTCAAAAGTTTTAATTAATCTTTAATAAGAGTTACAATTAAGTATTTTAGTACAATTTAGAAAGATAAAAATAGATTACATGTTAAAAAAACAAATCAATTTGCAACTATAAAATTGAAGTATATATAAGATAAGGGGCTCCAAAGATTAAGAAATTCAATGGTAACTTACAGACTTAACCAGTTACATATAAGAAATTAATTTGACTAAAAGCAACTTTTGAGCCATTATTTCAGAAGATATTAATATTCTTATATTTTTGCAGAAAGAAGAATATAGTTAAAAAAATACATAATAATAAAAAAAATTGTTACAAACTTCCAAAATACTCGTTTATAATTTACTATCAATTAATATTTTCCTAAATAAATAATTTTCTAATTAATAAGCTTGATAAATATGAATGTTGTTTTTTTTTTTTTTAATTTAATTTATGCCTATTTTATCTCTTATTAAATATTTAGGAATCTCAATTAAGAAATATGTTATCAAAATAATAAATTTCCTTATTATATCAACTAATTTAGAAGAACTCGTGTGCTGATTGTTAAATGTATCACAATTATACCAATAATATTGATTCATTTTAAAATTTTGTATCACAAAACATTGTGAATAATTAAGTAATTAATTTTATTTATTGTAATCTCTATTATGTAATCTTAATTAAAAACTTATATTGTTGGTAAAGTTAAAAAAAAATTGTATGATTAATTTCATTGAATAATTAATTTGTTTTTATGTAACTAAAATAATAAATTGAATTTTTTCTTTTCCTATTAATAAACAATTTTTGTAGTTAAAATTATAAATTTAAAATATGATTGTTTTTTGAAATTTATATGTTATTATTTTGTATTGATTTATTACTATTATTATTTTAGTTAAAATATTACAAAAATGTTGTTTTGTTAAATACTCTTGGTTTTTATTTATAAATAGCATTCTAAATTGTAAATCTATTTACAGATGTTCTAAAAGTAAAGACACTGGTGTTTCATTATAATGGAAACTTATTTCTTTATTTATTGAATACTATTTATGATGAAATAAATATAGTTAAGGATCCTTCCTTGATAAAAATTTAATAGGGCTACATCATCTTATTTGTAAATAGACTTCCCAACCCACCACACTATTTACCAATTATAAGATCAAATATTTGTTTGAACAAATTAATTTCTTAATAATGGCTATCAACTCATATTAAAAAATTGTATATATTACTCATTTAAAAGTTTAATAAAATAAATAACTATTTTAGGATGGCAAGTATACTAACAATTTGTAAAAAATATAGTATATTGATTTATAATATTTAAAATATTTACAATTGTGTAAATCTTTCCTCTTTCTCAAACTGAAGTAAATGGACTTAGTTTTTTTTATATGACATATTAACTTTAAATTTCTATATACTTTTACTTTTAAATTATTAATAACTATATAAAATAGTTTATTTATTAAAATAATGTGTATTTTTTTTATCAGTCATTAAGATTTCAAAGTTTAAAATATCAGCAATGTTTACTAGAATTGACTCATTTTTTCTTATTTCATTCATAAAATTTATCATCTAGACATTTTTCAATGAAAAAAAAAATTATAGAACAGTCTTAATGACCATTATAAAATTAATATAATTTCCTGTTTTTTTGTTTTTTCATAGATTGTTAAAGAAGAAGAAGTAACTGTTGAAAATGAAGTTGATATTATGGACTCTATTGAAAAAGAACTCGGGTTGATGACAAAAAAAGACAATACTGACTGGAATAAGTTTAGACCATTTTCTACTGGTGTTACTAACTGTATTTTCATAGGAACTACTGTAAGATTTAATAATTTGATAATAATTCTTCAAACATTAAAACTACATTAACTTTGATGAATAATGTATCCAAAAGTAGAAGTATATTTTTTTACAACAAATCCTTAAAGTTTTCATATACAGTTAAAGATTTTAATTGATAAAATTTTGTCCTCGCCACATAATACTATCAAGTTTGACCTTACAATTGGAAAAATAGTAAAGTTTTCCTGTACTGTAATTTTCTTTGAATACATGTTTTATCATGAATGCTAAATATTGAGCTGTATAATTTTTTTAAAACTTCGTAACAATTTACGTGATAATTTCAGAATTATGATCCATGCATTTTGATGTACAAAATACTTGAAGATATTGAAAAAAACAAAATTCAAAAGACTAAATTTCTTTTACGTATGCTTCCTATTACAATGACTTGCAAAGTAATACTTATATAATTTCCTAAATAATTTCACAATTTATTGTTTACTGTTCTATTTTTATTAAAGGCAAATATAACATCTATTATTACAACTTGCTCAGAAATATTTCCAAAATATTTTACAAAAGAACCAACTACATTTGCAATTGCTTTCAAGTAAAAAATAAATTGTTTATTTTTATATTATACAAGAGTTTTATATAAATAATACAAAATTTTTAGTCATAGATATAACAACTCAGTGCCACGTAATCAAATTATAGAAGCATTAGCCAATAAAGTTGCTGAAATTGGAGAACATAAAGTGGATTTATCTGGTGGAGCTAAGATGACAATAATTGTTGAAGTAGTTAAAACTATTTGTTGTTTATCAGTTGTAAAGGATTATGGTCGCTTTTATAAATTTAATCTACTCTCTGTCTGTGGTCAACCTGAAAAAAGATCAGTTAAAGATGAAAATGGTATTGAACTAAATAAATTTATTATAAGAATGTAAGTCATAAGTGAAAATATTTTAGCTTAATTTTTTTTTTTTAGATTCTGCTGATATTCAACCAAAAGTCATAAAATATAATAATTAAAACCTTTATGATAAGTCAGAAAAATAAATAGAGAATATTATACAATAAGTTATTTTCAGTTTTAGAATTCATAATTTACTAAAATAAATATATAAAAAAAGTTTTATTAAAAGCATTGTAAATATTAAAATGTATATCGAAGTAATGTTTTTTTGAATAATAATTAAAATCAATTATATATATTATTCAACATAAAAATAAAACTTACTTTACTTTGAACAGGCAAGAAAAGTTTAAATTCTGCAGGTAATTCATCCTCAGAATATAATCTATCACTAAAGTATACCCGTCTAACTCTACAGTTTGCATGTAATTGAACTCTTAATGTTTCCACATATCCAGTACCATAAGCACGTCTAGTGAAATCAGCTAAATTAAACTGTATTTGATTCCAACCTTCATCAAGCCTCATAGGCATTGTACAAATAAATGGTTTTACTCTTGTAGTTGATTGATAATTACTTGCTCTAAATCTTCTTCTTATATTTTTGTCATCTAAGATCTATAGTTAAAATGCAAGTACAAAAAATTTAAACTATTATTGCATCATTAACATTTTAATGTAACTTCAAGAAATATAGAAAGTAATATAGTAACACAAGGTTTTAAAGCATATATGTTCCACGTATTTTTCAAGAACAGCTTTAAATAGTAGAAAGTTTTAACTATAAAATATAGGTAATTTTATTAGTTTAAGTTTATAAATTTTTTAGTAGCTAATAATTTATGAACATTTGAGAATTTGAATTATATAAATTGAATAATTTTATAATATGAATTATATATATTGATAAATTCTTACATATTATTATTACTCAAATACAATATATTACCTGTACTTCAAATGTAAAATACTTTTTCATATTCTTTACTATCATGATTAAATATGGTAGTTTAATTCCTAATGTTTTCGTTTTCTCTGCGGGGCATGTTATATACGTTGTACTAATATTTGTACCTACAATATCTAACACTAGTGATTGAATGTCATTATCCGTAATTCTTTTAATGTGTCCATTTCTTACAGTTTTATCCCATAATTGTAAAGGTTTACTACCAATACTATACAGTATAGATAAAAATCCACTTTGAAATGTATTTTTGAACATAATAATATTTGAAAAATATTAACTTAAATATAAAATACTATTAATGCCATAAATTATGTAATGTTTGATCAATATATTATAAATAATGAATTCTGTTGCTAAGGTTACAATAAAGCAATAATTTCACAGCACACAAAATAAAACTATGCAGTTCTAAGTATAGAGAAAACTTAATTAATTTTACGTCATAGTGTACGATCGTAAATTAAAATTCTTTGAATCGACAATAAGTAACAACAAATTACGTAAAAATCAAAGTTTATCCAAGTGTAATCAAATCATCCACATGTGTTTTTAACTGCTCTTATAATGTTGTCTAACCAGTTTCAAGGTACTGGTTAGTTGGTTATAGATCAAATCTATTTCTTATCTTTAAAGTTCTAACGAACACCTACTTGGGTTAAGCAAGCAAATAATAGAAGTCTACACTGACTAGTGCCTACATGCCCTGCAGCTGTCGTTTACCGTTGAGTTTTGTTGTTTGTTTTCTAATCCATAACCGTAACTATTTATCTATTCAGTTCTATTCCTTGGTTAGTTATTGTCTATTTTGATGAATCTGTAATTAAATTAATAACAAGTTTAAATTACGAAGGTAAGTTTTTATAATTCTAAGAAATAGGTATCTAGTTAATGTCAAATTAAAACCTAGGTTTGGTAGTTAACTAAACTAGGACATAGTTTTGTGCTACTTTTTCCAATTTTTATATTTTTAAATAACTAAAAAAAATAGTCAATCAAGCATAAAATTCGATAACTTGTGATAATTTTTAAAAATCATATGCGTTTTTCTTCATATTAGGTTCATTTTACAAGATGAAAGTAATTATACTAATAGCTATGTTAGCTACTTCTACATCTTATGTATACAAGCAGAATGTAGATTATGAAGAAATATACAATATTTTTGAATTATCAGACTGCATCGAAGGTAACTTTGAGACTGTGCTTCTTTACATCTACACATTTGGGTCAAAAAATTAGATTATTTATGGGAACTATGTAGTTCTATTAGAAGCTAAACTCAATGTTGCTTGGTAAACTGCTGTATTGTTATTTTATTAACAAAAAGCTTTGGCTGTTATGTAAATGAAAAGAATTATCTTTTAAAAACCAATAAAATTATAATATAATGATAGAATATATTCAATTAAAAACACATAATTTCTTTGAATAGTTCTATAGTTATTGTATACTAACATTTAAATATTTATTTTTCTTTTGATTAGAGTGTAACAATGAAGAAACATCATGTTGATTAATTTTAAGTTTTTATGAGGCTATAATATTATATATTCTAATGTATATAAATTAATTGAATATATTCACTGCACTTAAATCTTATAACTTTGATTGTTCTAAGCCTTAAATTATTTAAGCATGAAAAAACCATAGTTTTTTACACCAAAAAAATTACATATATCTATAATCACATACATTTTTTAATCTTTTTTTGAAAATAAACTCTATGTCATTTTTCTGAAGTAAGAATTCTAATTAAAATTGGATAAAATAGTAGACAAAAATTATGAAGAATAATTTTCATTTTACATATTTTATTTTATATGACCAATTAGTTATTGTTTTAAGAGAGTTTTGTAGAGACACTTTTTAGCTTCGATGCGAAGCTGAGAAGGTATTGGCTTTACTAAGATGTGTTTTTTTTTTTTTTTTGTTTGTTACCACTTTTTCTCAGCTCTCACCGAACCGATTTCTTTCAATGATACGTCAAAAGATCACAAATTGTATCTAGTCGAAGACACTACCCTCAAAAATTGAAAAAAATTACCTCGTTCCCCGTAAATGGGGGAAACCTCCAAAAAAATTACGAATTTAAAAATCGCTAATTTTCGAAATTTTTTCAATTTTTTTTACTTAAAAGTGCCATAACTTTTTCAAAAATTAACATATCAATATAATTATTTTTTATATAGATGCATAAAATCATTACTTTTCATTTGGTATATTTTTTCATATATTTAACTCTTAACCTGCCCACAATGGGGGATTTAAAATGACAACTTTTTCACAAAAAATTAACTTTTTCAACTTAACTTTTGAAAATGTTCCGGAAGGTCTGACACTTTTATATATATCTTAAATTAAAGCTAATGTAATATACTTTATAATGGTAAAAAAAAATTTCGGACTTTATTTTATCTTCATGGTGAAAACAGACATTAAACTTAATAAAAAAAATACGATTTTTGTAAAAAAATTCTTTTTTATATTTTTAACTTTATAATGCTATAACTTCTCGAAAGATGTATGGATCAATATAATTCTTTTTTTTGTAGATGCATGATGTCTTTACCTATCATTTGGTATATTTTTTTTATAAATCTGACTTTTTACCTGCCTACAGGGGGGGATTCAAAATGACAACTTTTTCACAAAAAATTGACTTTTTCAACTTAAATTTTGAAAGTGTTCCGGAAAGTCTGACACTTTTATATATATATTAAATTAAAGCTAATGTAATCTACTTTATTATGTAAAAAAAAAATTTCGGACTTTATTTTGTCTTCACGGTGAAAATGGCTACCAAATGCTATTATTGTGTGAAAATTCTCAATTTTATTTTTTACATTTTTAACTTTATAATGCTATAACTTATTGAAAAGTGTATTGATCAACATAATTTTTTTATGAGAAATACTATTTTTTAATAATCCCTTTTTCATTCGACATACTTTATCTTAATCATGATATTAATAATGAACTAGCAGATCATGTAGTTTTTGGAATAATACACCAATTTTTTAAAATTAAACACTATCTAAAGATTTGCATCGAAGCGTTTTTTTTTGATAGTGATTTTAATCACTGTCAGATATCATTATACATGATCCATCTATGCCACGTCACCACTGTGCCGCGACCCCCCTGTGCTGGGTTTTTTTTTATAGTGATTTTAATCACTGTCAGATGTCATTATACTTGATCCATCTATACCACGTCACCACTGTGCCGCGACCCCCCTGTGCTGAGTTTTTTATTTATTTGGTTGTATTAACATTAAAAACCACAATAAACATTTTCAGTAGTCCATAAATTAATACTATTAATACTATTATGAATTATTAACAATAAATGGTGCTACCGTTTTTAAAATACTGGTTTTAATAAATTTTAACAGAGTAAACTAGAGACAATAAGCTTTCCTTTGGTATGCTTTTTAAGAAAATATAATGAAAAACTTAAGTACAGAAAGGGATTACCCTTGCATACAAAAAAAATGTTTAACTCAATTTTTGAAATGCATAACATTTTAAATGTATATCAAATTAAAACTATTGAAGTGCACTGCAATATTAAAATAAAACCATCTCAATATTTGTTTTGTTATGAAGATGTGCTGTCAAAGTTAACCATTCACAATTTTTACAATAAAATTTCCTGATTTTCAATTATGCAAGTAATTTAACAAACATTAATATTTGAGTGAAATTTTAAAACAGAAATTGTAAAATTACAAGTATAAAAATGATTGTGAGATTTAACAGATTTGTATTAAAGTGTTTTTTTATGATAGTGATGTGTTAATCATTGTCAGATATCATCTAAGCTTATCTCAATTATACCATCAATTATAACATTTTTAATTTAAATTATTAACAGAAATTTTTCCTTTACAAAATAATATTACATTCTATTTTAATAATATTCATTATTTATCATATCAAGTATATTTATTTCGGGATAGTTTATTTTATTATTTATTTATTTATAAACAAAAATTTTAAAATTGTTTAATATTAATTAACTTTGTAATGGTAATACTGACATATTTTAACAGATAAAAATATATATATATATACAATGTGATTCTTTTAATGCTAGGTACTCACTCAATTTCTCCAAAAATATTAAGTTTTTTGATAAAATGTTTTAGGGTTTTTGTTAGTTACTATTGTATTTTCATTTATCTGTTATAAATAATTTTCAGGTTTATCTCTTATATAATATAGGGGTGTGAACTTTACTTTTTTAAAAGGCAACATACTCATTAAATTTGCTTTTAAAATAGAAAATTATTTAATTTAGAAAATGATTGATCGATAACTTTTGGACCAATACTTCTGAAAATATTCTCATTTTCATACCTAGGTGAAAAGAAGAGTACGGTCTGGAAATGACTAGTGATAAAAATAGCTACATTTACTCCTTATTTCAAGTCCTTTAAATTGTTAATAACTTCTGTAATATTGGTCCCAAAATTAGTATCAACCAGCCATTTTCTATAGCCAGTTTAATTTATTTTAGTTATTTAGTTCAATTATTAGTAATTTTTAATATGTTATTTTTCTAGAAACTATAAAATATTGGTATGTAAATACATTATAACATCTCTATATAAATGTTAAATTAATTTTTTTGTTACAATTAAACATTTAAAACTATAAATATTGGTTAAATCTAAGTATTTAAATATTAAGATATATTAGCTAGTAAGTTTTTAATTAAAACACATGAATTTTTATCTTGAAACAGATATTCAAATTAAAGAAATATAAAAAAATAATTTAAATGAAAAAGATAGTGTCATTATTATTATTTTTTCATTACTTAAATACACTTTTAAACTATATTTATAAATATTTTTTTTGCATCAATTAGTGTTTTCTAATACAAAAAAAATTCCTGAATTCAATGAAATTTACTTTTGATTTCTTTTTGTTACAAATTTTTCAATTTTTGAATCATTAATTATTTTCATGTTCATCCCTTACATATTATAAAGATGTCAACATTATTTTTCTAACTGGCAACAAATATATTCATTGATTAATTTAATTAAGAAAATAACTTTTATTATTTATTTTATTTCATAGCAGTTTAGGACTAGTATTTTTTAATAATTATTACCATTTTAAAATATAGATAGTTGTGAGTTATGGATATTTCAATATTTATTATTACACATTTCTTAGCCATACCCAATCTTTTGCTTAAGTATGAAAATATTAAAAACTTTTGAAATACTGAGTCAAAATTTGTTATTTACTCATTATCACTTTTATTGACCAATAATTATCTTAACTAAATTATTTTTAGCTTCGATGTGAAGCTGAGAAGGTATTAATTTTACTATGATAAACAACTGATGTGTTTTTTTTTTGTGTCACCATTTTTTCTCAGCTCTCACCGAACCGATTACTTTCAATGATACGTCAAAAGATCACAAATCATAACTAGTCAAAGACATTACCCTCAAAAATTGAAAAAATTTCCCTCGTTCCCTGTAAATGGGGGAAACCTCCAAAAAAATTACAAATTTAAAAATCGCTAATTTTCTAAATTTTTTTTACTTAAAACTGTCATAACTTTTTCAAAAATGAATAAATTAATATAATTTTTTTTTTTTATAGATGCTTGATGTCTTTACCTATCATTTGGTAAATTTTTTTTATAAATTTAACCCTTTACCAGCCCACAGGGGTGGTTTCAAAATGACAACTTTTTCAACTTAACTTTTAAAAGTGTTCCGGAAATACTGACATTTTTATATATATCTTTAATTAAAGCTAATGTGATATACTTTATTATGGAAAAAAAAAATTTTGGACTTTATTTTGTCTTCACGGTGAAAATGGCTACTGTATTCAAAAATATGCTATTTTTGTGTTAAAATTCTTGGTTTTGTATTTTATTTTATTTAAGGGGATTACACAGATTTTCATAAATATATCAATTTAATTGACATAGTATAAAAAGTTAAACATATTTAAATTTTTTTGTTTCTTTGAAGTCGAGAAAAATAACTTTAAAATTTGAACTAGCTAAATTTCCATTTTTATTTAGTGACGAATGCGACGTACGGTTTCTGAGACGGTAACACTTGAGTCTTTCACGCCTGTGGCACTGAATTTTTTCTTAATTCTTTTTGAGTTAGAAAAAAATGTTTAACTCATTTGATTTTTATCTCATTTAGATTCAATAACTTCATTAAATATTATGGATACCATTACTGTAGTCTCCTCTCATGAGAAGAAATGCATATTAATATTATTTTACTATGTGGTTTTTTTTTTGTAGCTATTATTTATTTTCTCAGCTCTCACTTGACCTACTTTTTTGACAAATTTTTTTTTAAATTAAACACTATCTACAAATTTGCATTGAAGCGTTTTTTATGATAGTGATTTTAATCACTGTCAGATATCTATACTGGACCCAACTATGCCACGACCCCACTGTGCTGGGTTTTTTATTAAACTAGCTAGAAAAATATGTAGTGCTATTTAAATTAAATTGACATTCTTAAATGGTATATAAGATGAACTAAAAAGGTAATTAATAATTAATAAATTAAAAAATAACAAAAATGAATTTCATAACAGTTATTATTTTAAGAGAAATCTGGTAGCTGATGTTTTATTATATACTTTTTTTTGCTTTAAAGGGTTATTCTTTTAACATTTATTCCTACAGGAGATAATTATTAATTTAATATGCTTGTAACTAACATTTCATTTATGTGTAATTAATATAAAATATGTTTTTGAAGATTAATAAGTTATTTGATAATTTCTTTTAATTTTTGATATAAGAATTTTGTTGAAAGACTTTCTCGTGTGATCAATATAATGATTGCACTTAATAAAATCTAAATTTTAATATATTTGTGTAAACAGTTCTATTTTTTATTTAATTATTTTTTTTACTAATTTATAGTTATGCAATTTTTCAAAAATATTGGATTCTCTTATAGTATTCTATTTTTGTTGTAGGATACCTTATGGCTGGCTCAATTATTCAAAGTAATACTGAAAATGAGGCTTATTCTTCAAGCACAAAAAGTCAAAACATTGAGTTATCAATAAACATAAATGATAAAGACAAAACTCCTATGTGTTTAGTAAATGAACTAGCTAGATTCAATAAGGTATTTATATCAATTTTTAAAAGATATTAATATTCATAGTCACAAAGTTAAAAGGATAAAAGCGCTAGATAATTAGTTTGATTTTTATTTAAAATATGACAAAAATAATAAGTTAAAATATTAATAAATTTTATTTAGTTCTTTTTTTCATTTGAGTTATAATGAAATAGGTTAATTTTACCATTTGATATAACAATTTAATAGTGTAATAGTGCATAATAGTTACTAAGAAAAGTGTTTCTATTGTTTCAGAAGATTTACTTTTCATATAGAAGTTAATTTCTTTTTTATTTATGACCAATTTTCATATTAATGAAAATTGGTCAATTTAAAGATATTTATAAATTATAAAAGTAAACTGTTTCGTGTAAAATATACATTTTTTGAAATATTTGATGAAAAAATATAAAATTAAAATTTATATCTTATTTATTTAACAGATAAAACATCAATACAAATTAACAAATGAACAAGGACCTCCTCACAAAAAAAAGTTCACTGTTACTTTACAACTTGGTAATGAAGAATATAATGCAGATGCAATGAGTATTAAAAAAGCTCAACATGCTGCTGCAGCTTTAGCTTTAACTAAAACAAATTACAAACAACCCCAGACTAAAATGAAACTTAAATTCTCTGGTCATTATAGTAATGATTACAATTAAAGTAGTTTAATTATTTTACTGAATTTTATAAAAGTGTTGTAATTTAAATTTTAGATAATATTACTCCAACTGTCGAGCTTAATGCACTTGCCATGAAGCGTGGTGAGCAAACAACTTATACAATTATCGAAACGCCTCAATATGTGCCTACTCCGGCACCATTATACAATGGTTTTAGACCTGACTTGTACTCACATGCCAGGAGTGGATCATTTAATAATTATACTAATTTTGGGTATGTACTATCATAATTTTTTTAAAGTACTTCATTAATAATTTTTTATCAATGTATAAGTTAAAATATTATGTATAAATAATTTATTTTTAAATATTAAAAAAAAAATTTAATTACAGCTCTAGAGGACCAAGATGTATGCCATATATTCCAAATTATTATAGTTCACGTTTTACAGTGTCACAGGTATTTTTTTTTATATTTTTTTAAATTTTAAACATTTAATTTCATGTAACACACATAGGTTTCAACTCCATACATAAAACCTGAATTAAAATCAGTTGGCCTTTATAAAGTTAAACTTCAGATTGGTAAACATGAATTTATTGGCCAAGGTAATACTAACCAATCAGCAAGACATGATGCAGCATTAAAAGCGCTGACACAAATAAAAAATGAAGAAAAAAATGAAAATATTAAAGAAGTTCTAAAATGTGAATATTTTTTTGTTTGTGAGTTTTCAATTTAAACATCAATTTTACATAGATATTTTTTTTACTATTAGCTGGTGATTCTAAGTCAGTTATATCACAAGTGTATGAAGTTGCACTTAAAATGAAATTACCCATTAAATTTGAAGTGCTTAAAGAAGATGGTTTGCCTCATATGAAAACTTATGTTACTAAATGTTCAGTTGGATCTTATAATGCTACTGGGGAAGGTAATGGGAAAAAGGTAAAACATGTGTTACTTTGTTTATCATCTGTAGTAAAAAGTCCATTAAAATGAGAAAAATTGTCTTTTAAATCATAAACTAAGAAAATTTTAAATTAATCTATTTGTCTTATCTAGGCTGATTTCTTTTTATTTATAATATCTAGTTGATTTTTTTTACCAAATAAATTTAATTTTAACAGATATCTAAACGACGAGCTGCTGAAAAAATGTTACAAACTCTTAAAGAAGCTAATGAATCAATATTGGATGACAATAGTACTTCTCCTACACTGCCTCTTCCTAAAAATCGTTATAAAATGCCAAGGAAAAAAAATAGAAACTTAATAAAAGAAACCAAACAAAATTCAGAAAATGTTGAATCAATTAATAATAATACAGAGGATACAGATCCAGTAGCAAAATTATATAAAATACAAGCACTTAAAAAAGCAAAAGAACCATTATATACTTTTAAGGATGATATTTTACTCCCAAATCGTAGAAAAGAATTTATTTTTGAAGTAATTTTATGTTTTTTATTAAATCAGTACTGTATTTTTTTAAGTAAAAGTTTCAATCTAAATATGTTTTTTTACATTATAGGTGACAATTGATCAACATACTGCAATTGGAAAAGGACCAAATAAAAAAGTTGCCAAACGCAATGCTGCTGAAAAATTATTAATTGATATGGGTTTGGAAAGCGAATTAAAAGAACGTCCTATCAAAAATAATGATTCACCTTTAGTAAATTTAATATTTCTAAATAATAAATTTTATATATAATAACTAATTTTTCCATAGGAGAGTCATGAAAATAAAACTAACTTTGATAGTCCTAAGAAAAATGGCCGTCAAATAGCTCCAGGTGTTCTACTTGTATTACCTGAAACTTCAGTTGTAAATAAACCAAATGAAGATGGTATACCGTTAGTGTCAGTGGCGAGCAATATGGCTAGTGATCTATCTGTTACTAATATAAGACCTTCAAAACAGCTGGATTATTTTTCCAAAATGCTTGGTTTTAAAGTGCAATATTCTGATTTCCCTAAAGTAAAATTTTTAATTTGATAATATTTCAAGATAGTCTATAATCAATTATTATATTATATTGCTAGGGAAATCATAAGGATTATCTTACTCTCGTCTCTTTGTCAACCATTCCACCTCAAATTTGTCATGGATCGGGTACAACATTAGAACAGTCCCAAGATGCTGTTAGTATTTCTCAAATAATTAATAAATAATTTTTTTTTCAGTCAATAATAACAATCATTTATAATCTGCATGTATTGTATTTACAGATGTGGTGAATTTTACTATTATGAATTAACAAATATTATCTTTATTTTAAAAAATGTGATGATAATACCTTTTTTTTAGGCGGCCTTAAATGCCATTAGTTCATTAATCAACCTTAATTTACAAGGAACTGAATCATCTGATACAACTCAAAGACCAGTAAATGGTTTTTCTATCCAACAAAATCATTTTAATAACAAACCTATCACTAGACTTAGTTAATGATAACTTAATGCCTATTTTGTTATAATAAGATATCATTAGTTATACATTTTAGTTGACTGGTATAAACGTAGTTTATCTTGAAAATTTATTTTTAAAATTACGTATATATTTATAATGTAAAACACATTAATTTTTAAGCTACGTTTTTGCCACTTAAACATAGATAAAGTTTGATATTTCTTTTATTGTTAATTATATTTTTTATGTATTGAAAATCCATCTATAAAACTTAATTTTTTTTTTAATGACTATTTTCATGAATCATATTGATTTAATATATTATTATTTAATAAATAAGTTTCTTATAGGTGTAAAGTTCCAAAATAATGTATATTTTTAGTAATTTTTGTTTGTTGTAATAAAACATCTTTTTTCATTATTAAAGCAATTTTATTATTTGTGTACACAATTTCACCATTGAGTTTTTTGCTATTTAATAATAAAATGATGCTTAAAAATAATGCTATCTAATAAGTAATATAGTAAGATAAATTCATATCTTACTATATATGAATTTATAGTAAGCCAAAGTTTTATTGAATTATTGTGTTTCAATAATGAAACAGAAAAATATTGACAATTGCAAGTAATCAAAAAAACAATATTCACCAATGATTTTGGAATCAAAATGTAGAATATTTTCAATTACATAAAAATATAAGATGTGTGTATCACATCTTTTTATATAAATAAAATCATCATGTTCTTATTAACTAGGTTATATTAGTATTGCTGTCTGTAATTAAGTCATTTTAAAATTAATTTGATTATAATTATTAGTTCATTTTTCTATTTGATTAAAGAAAATAGTTATTAAATAATGAATATTTTCTTAGTATCAATGAATAATTTATCAAGTAAATAATTAATTAGTAAAAAATTTTAATCTTCTATGTCGAGTTTAATTCTATTATACATCTTCTTTTACCTCGCCTTTATCCCAACTACTTGGGGTCAGCCACACTTATCCTTAACTTCCACTTGACATGATCTTCCACACATCAGCCATTTGAATATTGCATTCAGTAACATCTCTCGCTCTCTTTTTTGGTCTTCCTCCATCTCTTCTTCCTTTCATTATATTATTCATCAATGATTTATGCTAGTACCTATCACATAATTGGTGCCGGACCAACTTATTTCTTTATCTTTTATTTTACATAAGCACTTACAAAAATCATTTAATTAACGCTTTGTAACTAGGCAAGTATTAATAAACAACGATCAATTAAGTACATTAATTATAATTTAGACTCCAGCGGAAAAACTTCATCTTAATGAGCCTCAAATTAAGTAAGTGAACTTCAATTGAGATTATTTTAATAATCTATAGTAATATCACTAGTAATTGACAAAAGTATGAGTTTTCACATAAATTACAGTTTCAAATTTATGTAATTGAAAACTTTTAATACTTGCAACAGTATTGGAATAAAACTTAAATATGTCTTTTTAATAGTTTTAATAAATTTTTGCCATGGATAGAGGAATTAGCAGACTGCAACTCACGCTGTAAAAAATAAATTCTTGAATTATAGTCGTTTTTGACAATTTTTTGGTCGTGGGTTGATGACCACAAAATAGGAAATTATAACATTCTCAGAAAAAAATTATCTTGCACCTCTTGAAGTCGCTTTTCGTCAGAAAAGTAAATACTGTGATTTGAAAAATAAATAAGGAGATTATGATTTTAAATATATATTTAAAAAATAATGCTATAATTTTTGAGATTGTTAAATTTATCCCTGTTAACTGGCAACACTGTATTTTCCGGTTGAAATAGAAGAAATTGGGATATCAAAATGGTGGCAACAATTTGTGATATGTATTTTGTTTTGTTTTTTATTTATGTTTTGATTTTGTAATTTCTTCACTAGATATAAAAAATTATTCAAAATAATGTGAATAAATTTTAAAAAGTAAATTACAAAAGGACAACGAAATGGATACAATACCAGAAATCGAAACGCAAGACGTGTGTGCTTCAGATCCAAATTTTGCTGTAATTTTTGCTTTTTGTGAACGATTTGGTAATATTTGTGGTGTAGAAATTCCTACATTTCAAGAACTACAAGAAATGTTGGAGAAAACAAATGAAGGTAATTATATTTTTAATCGTTTTTTAAATATTCTATGCTTAACAATATAGCATATTACACATTTATAGTTATTTGTTAAAAAGTAATATATAATTATGATTTAATGACTAAAAAATGTATACATTTTTAAAGTAAATTAATTAATATAATTTAAATTTTTCAAAAATGTTTTAGTGCCAAGTACTCTAATAGATTTACATGTAAAATTATTGCGAAAAGTAAAAAAAAGTGTTCAAGCAGACAAATGGGAAAGAGCTATTATTAAATTTTGTCAATCATACGCAATTTCTGACTATTGGGAATTAGAAAAATATGGATACAAAGGAATTTCAGTTCAATTGAAGTTAAAAATTTTAAAGGTAAATACTATGGTATTCAAATGTATAACTGAAAAAGCTTTTATTATGTATTTTTGGTCCCTATTATTTAATATCTACAGAATTTTAATGAGGCTAAAAGGAAAATTTTATGAGATTGTAGTGATGTATTGTTCATAGTGTTGGGCGGTTGATAAGAGAATGAAGCAGAGATGAGAATGCTTAGATGGATGAGTGAATTAACTAGAGAAGATAGGATTCAGAACCAACATATAAGAGAGAGTATAGGTGTATCATATCTTATCTAATTGTAAATGAGATGAGAGGAAAACAACTTAGATGGTTTGGTCATATTATGAGGAGAGAGGAATCAGAAGCTGAAAGAACAATTATGGAAATAAATGTTGAAGGAATAAGAGATAGAGGAAGATCAAAAAAGAGGTAGAGACATGTTATTGAATACAATATGAAGACGGCTGATGCGAGTGTAGATAATGTGGGAGAACGCATCAGATGGAAGTTTAAGATAATGGTGGCCAACCCTAAGTAGTTCAGATTAAGGTGAGAAAAATGAAAACTTAATATTATTGTATATATTTAAGTTATATTAATTTGTTATTTTTATCATACTGTTATGACTTGATGTTTTTTATAAAACAATTATAATGTTTAGAATTGTTATATTTGATTTGTAATTTATTTCTTTTTTTAAATAAATTATTTCAGAATTTATTAGAAGCACAATTTGATAGCAATTCTAAGTTCAAAGCTGAAATCAATAAATTAGAAAGTTCAGCCCTACGTTCACAACCACTTGGCTGGGACAAACTAGGTATAGCTTATTGGGCCCAGTTTGATAGATCTTGTAATCTTCGAGTTTACAAAGAAGACAACGAAGAGGATATATGGAAGATTGTTGCTAAGTTCGATGATTAATTAATTAATTATTAAGTAATTTTAATTTGAATTGCTTTAATACATTATTAAATTTTTATTTAGAGATCGCAGTACATTAGTTAACTTGATAAATGAGTTGTCTGGAACGAATATTCAGAATTTAGATGAAGAAATTGAAGATAGTAATAGTGTTGATAGTATATTGGGTGTTGAAGAGGAACTGTCACCTGGTCTAGAACAAGAGAAAGATGAATCATCTTCATCTCCAAAACCAGAAGATCTTGCAAACAATTTTTGTACTATAAATGATTTATCAGATGAAATGATTAATATATCAAGTGAAACGACTAACTTAAAAAGAAAAAACGACAATGATTCTGAGCAAATTATTGAAGTAAATAAGAAGAAGAACAATCCTATTGAAGGAGAAACAATTGAGGAATCTGTTATAATTATCAAAGGAGAAGGTACAGGTCATGAATGTAACACAGGAAACCCTGATGAAAATGAGTCTAATGATGAAATCTCTAAAACTGAAGAAGTAAAAAAGCCTAAACTTTGGAGTATTGAGACCATTTGCAGTTCATCTAAAGAAGTTCAAGAAGAAGTTGTACCTGTTTCTAACACAGGTTTTTTTTTTGGTGATGGTTCTGTACCATGTATTCCTAACATTACTAGTATTAATAATCCAATTTTAAATTATGAAGACTCAACTTCAAAAAATGAAAAAGATTCTAATGAGAAAACTAACCTTTATGATTCTAATATTATTTCAAATTCAGAAAATGTTGAATCATCTAAACTTTTAGTGAATACAGCATCTACTAATATTAATTCTATTGAAGATATGTCTAGTAAAATTATTCTAAAACAGTCAGTATTTAATATTAAAGTTCATGAAGAGGAGATTCAAATTACCGAACATAGTTCAAATGAAATGTTTAAAAATACAGAGACATCAAATATTAAAAACACATATGTTGTTGATCCTGGTGAAACATATTCTAGTAATGAAATCAATGAATGTCGTATAAATGAAGATAGTGCATCAAGTATAATAATGTATGAAGATAAAAATTTCAATATTGATGGTAATAATCAACATGAAGTAATATCACAAATGAACACGAAAAATAGTAAAACAAATCAAAATATAGAGTTGAGCTTTAATGTATCTGGAACTATACACAATGATAAAAACTCAACTTTAATAGAAAACAATAAAGATATACCAAATTTTGAGCCATGTAACAATAAAGAAATAAGTAAACCTGGAGAGAATGTTAATACTAAAGAAAGTATTTCTGTATCAACTAATAACATGCCCTTTGTTGAAAAAATTGAGTTTGAAATTCAAAATACTACTATTAAAATTCCAAATAGTGTAGATCAATTATCTTCTAAAAGTTCTTCTCAATGTTTACCTATTGAACATTCAGAAGAACTTTTAAAATATAGTTCATGTATTGATAGTAATGAATTAAATAATACTAATTTAAATACAAATGATCAATGTGATGAATCAACTAAAAATTTAACTAATCAAAGTCTTGATCAAATTAATCAAGTAAGAGTTGTACTTAAAGAAGAAATTAAATCAAAAAAATGTAATACATCAATTAAAAGTAAAGTGGATCAAGTTGAAGAGCTTTCTGATTCTTTAAACCAAAATAATAAAGGAAATGTTATTCAAGTAATTAAACAAGAATCTGTTTGTACTGCACAAGAAACCTTAGTTGAATTAAATAATAGGGATGTAGTAGATGCATCAAAATCTATCCTTGATGTTAATATTATAGGTATTAGTCAGATTGATATTTTAAAAAAAGAAGAATTCATTGAAAGAAATAAGAAGGCTACTGATACTGAGCACTCTACCTCAATCCATAAACATTTGGATAACCAAATTAAAATAGATAAAAGTTTAGATTTTGATAGAGATGAAGATTGTTTTAAAAGTTCTGATAAAAATTCAAAAGATAAAGACATTAATGCTGAACATATTAACTTTAATACTAATAGTGAATATTTTAAAGAAAAAAAAGTATCTTCAATATGTGATCAACAAGGTCAAGAAATAACAACTGTTGATATTGTCTCTACTCTTGAGAAATCCAACAGTATAATTTTGGAAAAAAAAGATGATCAATGTCCAAAAGTTGAATTGATTGATAAAGATTTAAATTTGTTGAACTCTGAAGTTAATGCTTATTATTTTGAAAAAGATAAAAATAATTCCACTGAGAAATATTCAAACCAAATTGTTGAAAAAAATCTAACTCCTAATATGATTATGGTAGAATCTAATATACCAGCTACAGGTAAAAACATATAAATTTTATAATTATTTTGTAATTATGTTTACTGAATATAGAAAGGACTATAGTTATCCGTTTTTAATTTATAATAATATAAATATAAATAAATTTAAGCAGTTTGTTAATTATTTGGATTAACTCTCTCTAAATTAAATATCTGGTTAGGTTATAATAATTAATTAATGTTTAATATTAGATAATCAAGCGGAAGATAATTTACCAGAAGAATTAAAATCAAATGATAATGAAAAACCTAAAAAGAAAAGGGGTAGAAAAAAAAGTAAATAATTTTTAAAAAATATTGGAAATTAATTATTATGTCATAATTTTATTTTAGAAAGTGATCTTGAAAAAGACAATGATAATTCTGTAATTAATATCGATCAAGAATCTATAGTGTGTCATTCTCCAATTGATAAAGTTGATGAATTTAAAGAAAATGATGTTGTTCAAAACTGTAAGACCATTTCTCATATAACTGATCTGTTCTAAATAAAATTCTCTTAATGCCACTTACAGCTCAAAATGAAATTGATATGAAATCAGCCTATGATGATGATGAGGATGAATTAAACAGTGAAGAAGAAAAAGAAACAACTAAAAAGATAAAAAAACCAGTTGGGCGAAAAAAAGGTATATTTCATAATTAAAAATTTTTTGTTTCATATACATATATGTATGTACTATTTTAAAGATCTTTGGGTTTTAATGAATAAATTTCAGAAGTATAAATATTTTTTTTTTAATAACTAATATACAGGTGTCTTGGCCTGTTCTGATAAATTCTATAACTTTTGATATACTAAATATATTTTGTTACTTTCTTTTTAAAATAATTTTTACAGTTTTAAACTATGTTAAAAGCTTTTGATATAACTAAAATTTTACTGTAATTTTTTTTAAACAATTTTTGCATTCTTCTACATTGAAAGCATATTTTTTAATAATAAAATATAAAAAAATCATTTTTATTCATTTTTTCAAATAACCATTTTTAGCTTTGATGCGAAGCTGAGAAAGTATTGGTTTTACTATGATGTGTTTTTCTTTTTTTTTTTTTTGTGTCTGTTACCACTTTTACTCAGCTCTCACCAAACGGATTTCTTTCAACAATACGTCAAAAGATCACAAATCGTATCTAGTCGAAGACATTACCCTCAAAAATTGAAAAAATTTCCCTCGTTCCCTGTAAATGGGGGAAACCTCCAAAAAAATTACAAATTTAAAAATCGATAATTTTTGAAATTTTTTCAAATTATTTTACTAAAAACTGCTGTAACTTTTTCAAAAATAAACATATCAATATAATTTTTTTTTTTATAAATGCTTCATATCTTTATCTATCATTTGGTATATATTTTTTGTAAATCTGACACTTAACCTGCCCACAGGGGGGGATTTAAAATGACAACTTTTTCACAAAAAATTAACTTTTTCAACTTAACTTTTGAAAATGTTCCGGAAGGTCTGACACTTTTATATATATCTTAAATTAAAGCTAATGTAAT